ACTCGCTAGGATTTGGGAGCATAGAGCCTCTTGGAAAACAGCTCCTGGCTTGGATCCTAGCAGAGACTGAGCTCCTGACCAAGGAACACCAAGTGTCTATGTGGCTAGAGCTGCCCGTCACATGCCAGGTATGATCAAAGGCACAAGGGACAAGGTCAGGTGGGCATAGCAGCAGTTCATTGAAAGATGAAAAACACTGTACACCTGACCATCCACCTTGAGCAGAGGGGGAACTGGTCTGAGACACAAGTAAACCCAGACCCTTGGCCGGTGGGCAAGGATGTGGCTGTTGAGTCCAGGGCCTGGAATGAGTGAGATTGGAAGACCAGAAGCAAGGAAGTCTGAGGAGAAGCCACATGTATGGACCTACGCGGGTAGCACGGATGGAGCATACCACAGTTCCCCATGTGAACACTCAACAGAGAGTGTGCACCTCAGATGTGGCCAGCCTCTCCGTGGCCAGGCAGGGCTGGTGCAATGCTCCTGGGAGCAGATCGTACTCGTTGAGGCTATTCATGGGCCCCAAAACGTGATCTCCCTCCTACCAAGGCTGGACGCCCATCCCGTTCATGGCTAAATGAAGAAGACTGACACCACCACATGGGAACATAATATTGCACTATCGCTGCAGTAAAAGGTCTGGTAGCTTCTTACAAGACTATATGCTTCTAGGTATTTATTCTGAGAAATGAAAGCATATGTCCATAACAATGCATGTGCAAGAATGTTTGGGACAGTTTTCTTCATAACAATGCCACACTGGAAACAGCCTAGTGCTCTGGAATGAATTGAACCCCCCAAGACTCATATGTGGAAGTCTTAACCCCCACAACCTCAGGATGTGACTATATTTGCAGATAGGGCCTTTAAAAAGCAACTAAACTAAAGGAGGTTGTTAGGGTGAGCCCTGATACAATCTGACTGGTTCTCTTGTGAGCAAGGAAATTAGGGCACACAGGACCAAAGACCACGTGAGGACACAGCAAAGGAGTCGCTCTCTGAAAGCCAAGGAAAGAGTTGTCAGAGGAATCCAACCCTGCTGACAGCTCAGTCTTGGACTTCTAGCCTCCAAAACTATGGGAAGATAGATTTCTGTTGTTAAACCAATGAATCTATAGTATTTTGTTACGGCAGCCCTGGCAAACTAAAATGCCCAGGTATTCATCTACAAAACAATAGATAAACCAATTTTTAACAAAAAAAATTACTCAGCAAGAAAAAATAAACTGATACATGAAACAATCTCAAAAATAAAAAAAAGTGAATCTCAAAAATATCATCCTGAATGAAAGAAACCTTGCACAAAATACTACATACTATATGCTTCCACTTATAATAGACAAAACTAATATAAAAAAACCATCTGCCCACATAAAACCATAAAACCATCTACCCCAGGAGGTCTATATTACCCAAGGTATTTGCCCCAGGAGATCATTGTTGCCCACTGTGTCTCCCCCATGAGGTCATTATTACAGAACAATCTGCCCTAGGAGGTCATTCTTGCCGAAGATATTTTCCCAAGGAGATCATTGTTGCTCATTGTATCTGCCCCAGGAGGTCACTGTTACCCAATCATCTGCCCCAGGAGGTCCTTATTACTCAATATATTTGCCCCAGGAGATCATTGTTGCCCATTGTGTCTGCCCAGGTGGTGATTATTGTCCAACCATCTGCCCCAGGAGGTCATACTTGCCCAATGTAATTGCCCCAGGAGATCACTGTTGCCAATAGTGTCTGCCCCAGGTCATTATAGCCTAAGCATCTGCCCCAGAATGTCATTATTACCCAATATATTTGCCCCATGAGATCATTGTTGCCCATTGTATCTGGCCCACGAAGTCATTATTGCAATAGTGACCTCCTAGGGCAGATACAATGGGCAACAGTGATCTCTTGGGGCAGAGCAATGGGCATTGACCTCCTGGAGCAGATACACTGGGCAATATTGACCTTGTGTGGCAGATGGTTAGGCAATCATGACCTCCTGGGGCAAATACAATGAGCAATAATGACCTCCTGGGGCAGAGAGAAGGGTAATAATGACCCCTTGGGGCATATGGTTGGACAATAATATCTCCTGGGCAGATAGTGGGCAAAAATGATCTCCTGGGGCAGGTGGCTGAGCAATCAACCATTGGGGCAGAGAGATGGGTAATAATGACTCCCTGGGGCAAATACATTGGGCAATAATGACCTCCTGGGGCAGATGATTGGGTAAGAGTGATCTGGGATGATAAAATGGGCAATACTGACTCCTTGTGGCAGATACACTGGTTAATAAATGACCTCCTGAGACAGATGGTTGGACAATAATGACCTTCTGGAGCAGATAAATTGAGTAATAATGACCCCGTGGGGCAGAAAGAAGAGTAATAATGACCTCCTGGGGCAGATGGTTGAGCAAGAGTGACCTCCTGGGATGATAAAATGGGCAATACTGACCTCATGTGGCAGATACAGTGGTCAATAATGACCTTGTGGAGCAAATTCTTGGGCAATAATGACCTCCTCTGGCAGATACAATAGGCAACAATGATCTCTCAGGGCAGACTTTTGGGCAATAATGACCTCAGAGGGCAAGATACATTAGGCAATATTGACCTCCTGGGGCAGATGGTGTGGCAATAATGACCTCCTGGGATGATAAAATGGGCAATAATGACCTCTTGGGAGATAGAATGGACAATAATGATCTTCTGGAGCAGATGGTATGGCAAGAGTGATCTCCTGGGATGACACATTGGGCAATACTGACATTGAGTGGCAGACACAGTGGTCAATAATGTAGATTTCATAATAATGGAGATCCTTGTTGCCCATTGTATCTGCCCCAGGTGGTCATTATTACCCTTCTTTCTTCCCCAGGAGGTCATTATTGACCAACCATATTTCTCAGAAGGTCATTATTGTTCAAGAATTTGCCACAGCACATCATTATTACCAAATATATTTAAACCAGATCATTGTTGCCTATTGTATCTGCCCCAGGAGGTTGTTATTGCCCGATGTATTTGCCCCATGAGATCACTGTTGTCCATTGTATCTGCCCTAGAAGGTCATTATCGCCCAACTGTTTGCCCCATGAGGTCATTATTGACCACTATTTCTGCCACACAAAATCAGTATTGCCCATTGTATCTTCTCAGGGGTCAATATTGCCCAACCATCTGCCCACGAGGTCATTATTGCCCAATGTATTTGCCCCAGGAGATCATTGCTGCCCACTGTTTCTGCCCCAGGAGGTCATTATTGCAGAATAATCTGCCCCAGGAGGTCATTACTGCCCAGTGTATCTGCCCCAGAATATCATTATTGCCCATGGTATCTGCCCCAGGAGTTCATTATTGCCCAGTGTATGTGCCCCAGCAGATCATTATTGCCCAACCATCTACCCAGGAGTTCATTATTGCCCATTATATCTGTCCTAGGAGGTCATTATTTTCCTTCTCTCTGCCCCAGGAGTTCACTGTTGCCCATTGTATCTGCCCCAGGAGGTCATTATTGCCCAATGTATTTGCTGCATGAGATCACTGTTGTCCCAGGAGTTCATTGTTGCCCAACCATATGCCCCTTGAGGTCATTATTACCCATCTATCTGCCCCAGGAGGTCATTATTCCTCATTGTATCTGCCCCAGGAGGTCATTATTGCCCAACCATCTGCCCCACAAGATCATTATTGACTACTGCCACAAGGAGTCAGTATTGCCCATTTTATCATCCCAGGTCACTCTTACCCAATCATCTGCCCCAGGAGGTCATTATTGCCCTATGTATTTGCCCCAGAGAGTCATTATTACCCATCTCTCTGCCCCAGTGGTTGATTGCTCAACCATCTGCCCCAGGAGATCATTTTTGCCCACTATCTGCCCAGGAGGTATTATTGTCCAACCATATGCCCCAAGGGGTCATTATTACCCTTCTCTCTGCCCCAGGAGGTCATTATTGCTCATTATATCTGCCTCAGATAGGTCTACCCCAGAAGGTCATTATTAACCTTCCATATGCCCCAGATCATTATTGCCCAAGCATCTGCCCCAGGACGTCATTATTACCCAATATGTTTGCCCCAGGAGATCATTATTGCCCATTGTATCTGCCCCAGTAGATCATTATTGTCCAATGTATTTGCCGCATGAGATCACTATTGTCCATTGTATCTGTCCCAGGAGTTCATTGTTGCCCAACCATGCCCCTTGAGGTCATTATTACCCATCTATCTGCCCCAGGAGGTCATTATTCCTTATTATATCTGCCCCAGGAGGTCATTATTGCCCAACCATTAATGCCCCACGAGATCATTATTGACCACTGTATCTGCCACACGAGGTCAGTATTGCCCATTGTATCATCCCAGGGGTCACTATTGCCCAACCATCTGCCCCATGAGGTCATTATTGCCCAAGGTGTTTGCCCCAGGAGATCATTGTTGCCCACTGTGTCTGTCCCGGGAGGCCATTACTACAAAACAATCTGCTCCAGGAGGTCATTACTGTCCAGTGTATCTGCCCAAGGAGATCATTATTGCACATGGTATCTGCCCCAGAGATTATTATAGCCCACCACTTGCCCCAGGAGGTCATTACTGCCCAGTATATCTGCCCCAGGTGTTCAATATTGCCCATGATATCTGCCCGAGGAGGTCATTATTGCCCAGCCATCTGCCCCAGGAGGGCAATAGTGACCAAGGTATTTGCCCAGGAGATCATTGTTGCCCACTGTGTCTGCCCCAGGAGGTCATTATTGCCCAATATGTCTGCCCCTTGAGGTCATTATTGCTCATTGTATCTGCCCCAGAAGGTCATTACTCCAACCATGTACCCCATGAGGTCCTTATTGCCCACTGTATTTGCCACATTATGTCATTATTGCCCAACCATCTGTTTGAGGAGGTCATTGTTGCCCAATGTATCTACACAAGTGTATTCCCCAGGAGGTCATTTTCACCCCCTTTGTTGGCCCCAGGTGGTCATTATTGTCCACCTATCAGCCCCAGAGGTTATTACATCCCATTATGTCTGCCCCAGGAGGTCATTATTCCCCAGGCATCTCTGCTAGGAGATAAGTATCCCATTTTTTCAGCCCTAGTAGGTGACTACTGCCCATTGTATCAGCCCCAGGAGGTCAGTATTGCCCACCTATTGCTTCCTAGAGGTCATTTTTGTCCATGTGTTGGCTCCAGTAGGTCATTTTATTCCATCCAGATGCCCCAGGAGGTCATTATAGCCTTATCCTTCTGCCCTAGGAACTCATTATACAACTACGTGCCCCAGAAGGTCATTATTACTTAGTGTATCTGCCCCAGGAGGTCATTGTTGCCAACGTATCTGCCCCAGGTGGTCAGCGTTGTTCATGGCTTCTGCCCTAGGAGGTCAGTTTGGGGAGGTTATGTAGGGGCCCCAACACAGCCTGTTCCTCTCACAGGCTTTCAAGGAGATGTATGGTTCCAGGAAAATGACTGAGTCGCCTACTCGAAGAACAGACGGTCAATTCTGCTCAGGTATGTTAAAAAAGAAGAAAGTTCAGAAGCATTTGGCGAACTCCTGTACTAACATACAAGTATGATTTTCAGTCATGGAGTAAAAATTAAAAGGCAGTTGAATAAGCTTCCGGCTAATCCTTACGTTTCTTGGGGTATTCTGAAAGTCTGTTCTTTTTCTTCAGATTATTCCTGAAGAGATCAAAGTTATGCGTAGCCTAGAGAAGGGAGACACCCTGGATTTTGACCTAAGAAGAGGCCTTCCCTACTTCCTCAGCCGAGAGAGAGGATTTTCAGTCTCTCCCAAAGGGCCCCTTGAACTCTGGAACTCCTGGATTCCGCCTGTGAGCTGGAGGGGCTGTCGATGCGCTGTGTGATGTCAGCAGGCTTTGTGAGGCACCCGACGCTGCATTATGAGCACTACAGCGCAACAGGGCCACCCAGCACGGTCAGGTGTTGCCTGGCATCCAGGCACCTCAAATTCTGCCATCCAGAAAAATATTACATCTTTCGGATCCTTTGTCATATCCTGCCTGACTTCAGCTATGTCTGTGCCTGGGAAGTACATCAGTCACAAAGCAGCTAGCGCAGGTATCTCCTGGGAGGTGGGCACGGGGATGGGAGCCCTTCCCCTCCCACCAGGGGAAGCAGCACGTCCAATAACTGACTCCTGCTGGGACATCAGCTCTGCGGATGAGGATTAAGAAGACTTACTTGATTTTTTTTTTAAGGGGGGAGCAGCACCAGGCTGGTTATGCCATCCTAAAGGTGGATTGGACATGGCGATAGCTTTGAAAAACAGGGCCAATTTTCATTATATATTTCTTTATGCTCTTAAAATGTATACCAAGTGAACGTATTACTTATTAAAAAAGAAATCAGTAGTGGCCAGGCGCGGTGGCTCACGCCTGTAATCCTAGCACTCTGGGAGGCCGAAGCAGGCAGATTGAGCTCAGGAGTTCGAGACCAGCCTGAGCAAGAGCGAGACCCCATCTCTACTAAAAAAATAGAAAGAAATTAGCTGGACAACTGAAAAATACATATCTATATAAAAAAATTAGCCGGGCACGGTGGCACATGCCTGTAGTCCCAGCTCCTTGGGAGGCTGAGGCAGGAGGATTGATTGAGTCCAGGAGTTTGAGGTTGCTGTGAGCTAAGCTAATGTCACAGCACTCTAGCCCAGGCAACAGAGTGAGACTTTGTCTCAAAAAAAAAAAAAAAAAATCAATTAAAAGAAGAAACCTTAGTATCAGAAAGTCATAGATCTGGTATGGAGATCAGTGCTAAGATTGTCCTAGGAACTGGGGCTGATTGTTTACAGAATAATCAGTTGTGGCAGAATCTAAAGCATGATCATGTTTTCCCGACTCTAAAGACTCACATTTTAAAGCAAACTGTGGAGAGAGCTGACTCCTCTGATGTGTGGCCTTTCCACAAGCCCTGTGTCACCCAAAGCCCTGAGCTGCTTGTTTTCACTTCAGAGTCCTCCCCCTGCACGCTGTGGGCCATGACGTCTTCTGCCTTTCCAAAGTGTCACCACACGTCCAATAACTTCCTGTCTCCCAAGCACATGTTAACATCGTTAGCTTTATTTATATTCGTTGAGTCAGGATGGAGATGAAACAGACACATGTGTTCAGTCTCTAGCATCTTTAAAGGAAGGCTCTCAAGAGCTTCTTCCTTTTTTGATGAATTATGAACAGCTTAAAACCTAAGGGAAACACAGAGAAAAGTATCGTAAACGCTGTGTTGCACCCATCAGCTCTGTCAAACCATATAATTTTGGCTTGTTTTCTTCAGAGCTTTTTGAAAAATAAGCAGTAAGAACACCAGGGTAGGAGCCCCTTGTTCTCCCCGGCACCTGCCCCAGCGACAGTCGCTGTTGCAAATCTGCGTACATCACTCCCAGGCGTGGTTTTTCCATGCATTTGCTACATGTGAGAATGTCCATAAACCATCCATAAACCATCGTACTGCTTCTCGTGTTTTCCAAACTTACATCATACCCTGCTTGGGTTTTGCACATTATGTATTTTAGATTTTACAACATTACATATGTATCTCTAGTTGATCCATTTTCATTATTGAATGAAGAGCTTCATTTTATCAATTCTATTAAGGGAAATGTTACACTGTGTCTAGTTTTTCACTATTACAAATGTTACTTCAATAAACATTCTTGTACACATCTCATGATGCATCTCTATAGGTGAGAGACATGTCTTATTTAATGAGTCTCTTTAGGATAGATTCCTAAGAATGGAACTGCTTTATCATACTGCATAGTTAGGTATCTTCAACTTAACTAGGTACTGCCAAATTGATTATACCAATGTACAGTGGACCACAGTTCCCATGGCCCACTTTCTCTCCAGCATGTGACATTGTGTGTTTTTACATTTTTAACAACCTGACTGGTGTCAAATAAGAGTTTTAGAGACCTATGCTCTCTCTCCAAGATGGATTGGGCACGGACTAGGGGTGAGTAAGCCTTCGTCACCTTATTTCCTGTATGCACAGATGTATGTGCCAGTGGCTTTAAATGATGCTGTGTGCTTTATAAACATGTTATACACTTTGGTGTTAAGTTTTCTTATTAATATCAATTTTAAGAGGTTTGTGCTATGCTGGGTGTGGTGGCTCACACCTGTAATCTTAGCACTTTGGGAGGTTGAAGTGGGAAGATTGCTTGAGGCCAAAAGTCTGAGGTTGCAGTAAGCTATAATGGCGTCACTACACTCTAGCCTGGGTGACAGAGTGAGACCCTGTCTCAAAAGAAAAAAAAAACACAAATAAATAAAGCATGCTAATATAAAAAAAAAGGTACACTTTATGTATGTAAGGACTGATATCTGTCTTTAAAACACTGAAAATTGAATTCAAGCCAAGTAGATGATCATCTATAAACCATTGGACTATCTAATACTGCTTCTCTTAAATCATTCTGATTTAGGAAATTAAAAAATGGATCATGGATGACACTAAGTTTACAATGAGAAAGGTTATAATTCCATGTTTATTCTGTGTGTCCTTGACATTTGGGATCTGGGCAACTCTGTTTTCAATGTATATGCACCATAACCATGCGAGCGACCATCAGAACAGAAGCCAGGAGCCTATATCAGCTTGGTCCCTTGGACAAAATGTGCAGCAACAAATTATCCATGACTCAGAGCAAATATCAAAACCACATGTAAAAGTCAAACATGAGCCTGAAGAACTGCAACCATTGGTTATATCTAGTAAGTATTTTGATTTTCTCTGTTAGCCATTTAAAAAAAAAGTATACCACAAATTTAAAATTTGGAAGAGGAAGAGAATGTCCTCTTTAGAGCAATTTAATTTTTAAATTATGAATATTTTATATATGCATAAATTTATACACAGAAAGTAAAGCAGGCATACATATACTTACCACTTACATTTAACATTTTTATGTAATTTGCTATATTTGCTTCAGATAGCTTTCAGTTTTGCAAATAAATCAGTTTTACTAGGTACAGTAAAACCTTTACCCCCTCCTTCCCCCCACAACCTCAGAGCTTGTAGCTAACCTAAAGGGATGGGTTTCTTTCTCATGCATGTCTTTTCCACTTCCTCTGTATCTTATCCCTAAGCAAAATATAATATTATGTATTTTTAATATATTTGTAGATATTCTGATGTATGTATCTTTTGGGAACTTGTTTTTTCACTCATAGTTTTATTTGTAAGAGTTTGTGCCATGTTCATGCGCATGAAGACCTACCATGTTTCCCCGAAAATAAGACGGAGTTTTATATTTATTTTTCCTCAAGAAGACACCCTAGGGCTTATTTTCAGGGGATGTGTGATTTTTTTTAAGTACGATACAACAATCTATATTTATTCAAATATAGTTAAGTCATCTTCTGGAACATCATCGTAACTCTCCAAACCCTGAATTCCATCCTGAATTTCTTGCGACTCTATTTCCTTTAGAACCATTGGCCCCAATCTCTCATGCCGAGCACTAGAGCTCTCATGGGGCAGATGAGAAGAGCTGCTCGTCTTCTTTATCGCTCCTCGAGGAAATGCATGGGTTGTGCAGATATACTGGATAGCCACACCCATCACTAGGTCTTATTTTCGGGGTGGGGCTTCTATTGTGCAAATGCTTAGAAATCCTGCTAGGGCTTATTTTATGGGTAGGTCTTATTTTCGGGGAAACATGGTAGTTTACCAAAATTAACCCGAACAAAGAAATTAAAGGTAGAAATTAAAGCCTTAAGGAACAGGCCTCCATTCTGTGGCTCTCCTACTAGATGACCAGGTGTTGGCCCAAACCCCACCCCACAACTGGAGCCTGTGGCCCACAAGAGCCCCTCTGCAGCTCCCCTACCCTTTTCTCTTAGGTCACACCCTAATTCTGGCTTTTAGAGTCCTACCGCTCACAGGGATGAGCCCCCAGGGGAGCAGTGTTGCTTTCTGGAATGGGAGGGGACCCCCCTTCTCTGCCATATGAAACAAGTCTTGCGACAGCATGAGATTGTTCCAGGCACCAGAGGGCACATATGGGTTTGGAACTGAGGCTCCAGCTAGTAGCAGTCACTTGCTTGTCCTCTTGTCTGGGGCAGATTTCTGCAAAAACTTCAGCTGTGGTCAGTGGCTAGTCATAGAGTCCAAGGATGCTGGTCTTCTTACAATCTCTATCTTAGACACATGTTTAATAGCCATGGGTATCATTTATTTATAAAGCTTTTAGAAAAATACTTAAAAACAGAAGCAAAAAAGTGAAAATCAGCCATCATCTTTAGCACTTAAATGCATACATACATATGTATGTGCATATATATTATATATATATATGAGAAATTCCTTCCTTCATTCTTACCCCAAACAGGTGAATGCTTAACAGTTTGATGTGTACCACATTTTTTCTGTGACTTTACATGTGATTTGCTTTAATGATACATTATAGTATAATAATCTCTTTAGCTAAATACATGTAGAGGTGCCTCAATCTTTAGTAGTTGTGGAGTATGAATACATCAGATGTTATTTAGCCATTTTGCTACTGATGGACATTAGGTCGTTTCCTATTTTCTTACAGTTGCAAGCTGATGCAGGGAACTTCCTTTATGGTACATACACATAAGGAGAAACAAACATTTAATGTCATATTCATGCGGAACAGATTCCTAAAAATTGGAGTGCTAAACCATGGGGCACAGGCATTTTTTTAAGTTTTGGTAGAAACTGCTAAATTACTCTCCACCAGTGTAACCAGTTTACTTTTCCACTAATGGTGAAGGAGAGAAAGGATTTCCCCGTTACCCTGCTGACTCCAGACGCTATCATATGTTTAATTTGTAGTCTATGCTTATTAGTTAGGGGGTGCAGGGACCTTGCCATGTGCACTCTGACCCTCGGGTGCCTATGCCCCTCCCCCCCCACCTCTCAGGATGCTTTCTGCTCAGGAGATCTCTGCTCTCAACTCTCTGTTTTACTTTTTGTCACCACGTCCTCTGATGACTGTACACTGTGTTTAGGAATTCTCACTTGTCCTCTATTTCGTATTTATAAGTCTTCTCACCCCACTTAATGTTAGTTCCCTAAAAGGGAGAGGTTCTGCACAAGAAGTTGCCTCCCAGGTCCAGATGAGAGAGATTTGAAGGCCTGAGCATTCCAGGCATAGAAACTGAGCAGAGGGCAAGACCACAGAAGCCAGAGCACCTAAGGGGAGGCGGCCCGTTGTGGATTTGTAATCTCAGTAATTCCCCCACAGAGAAACTCAGAAACAAAACCTTTTTGGTTTTGTGTATTTTTTTTTTTTAACCCCATCCTTGCCCTGGGAACAGCTTCTTTCGTTCTGACAACTTGACAACATTGTTGTGTTTTTATTTTTATCTTTTTGAAGATATATTCTGGCCTTTAAATTCTAAACTCTTTTCTTTGAAGGATTGATTTTCCAATTGCTTTTTAAAATATGAGCATAGCAAAGTTATATCTTAGAATATTAGTCTTTGTTCTTTATATTGTATATTGCTGTGAAAATTTCACTCCAGATTAATGTGTGTAGAATTTTATATAAATGGAATCATAAAATATATACTCTTCCTTGTCTGGCTTTCTTCAATCAGCATATTTATTTTGAGATTCATGTTGCTGCATTTGGCAGTAGTTCATTCTGTTTTATTGTTGAGCGGTATGTTCCACTGAATGAATATACCACAATTTATCAATTCACCTGTTGACGAACATTTGAGTTGTTTCTGGCTTTTGGCTATCATAAACAGTGCTGATATGAATACTGGAATATAAGTCTTTGTTGTTTCTCTTAGGTAAATGCCTAAGTATGGGATGACTGGGTCATGTGGTGTATGCTCAACCTAAAGAAAATGCAAACTGTCCACCTAAGTACTGTGCCACTTTATACGAGTTTATGAGAATTCTATTTTCTCTAGATCTCTGCAAACACTTGACATGGTCCAGTCTTTAAATTTTAGCTATTATAATGGGTGATTAATAGTATTTAATATCATTGTGGTCTTAACTTGTATTCCCCTGATAACTAATAATTTTTGTGCACCTTTTCATGTGCTTAATGAACACCCACATATCTTCTTTTGTAAAGTATCTTGAAGCTTCTGTCCATTTTTAAATCGGAATGTTTGTCTTATTGACTTTTAGGACTCCTTTATACATTCTGGATTCAAGTCCCTTGATATTTTTGCACAAGTCTATGGCTTGTCTTTGTATTCTCTTTTTTTTTAGACAGAGTCTCGCTTTGTTGTCCAGGCTAGAGTGAGTGCCGTGGCGTCAGCCTAGCTCACAGCAACCTCAAACTCCTGGGCTCGAGCGATCCTTCTGCCTCAGCCTCCCGAGTAGCTGGGACCACAGGCATGCGCCACCATGCCCCGGCTAATTTTTTATCTATATATCAGTTGGCCAATTAATTTCTTTCTATTTATAGTAGAGACGGGGTCTCGCTCTTGCTCAGGCTGGTTTTGAACTCCTGACCTTGAGCAATCCGCCCCACCTCGGCCTCCCAGAGAGCTAGGATTACAGGTGTGAGCCACCGCGCCCGGCCTTGTATTCTCTTTTGAATGGTTTTATTCAAAACACAATTTTACATTTTGATGATGTTCAATTCATCACATTTTCTTGTATGGTTTATGATTTTTATGTTTTATCTAAGAAACCTTAGCTTACTCCAAGTTCACAAAGCTTTCATTCTGTTTTCTTGGAGAAGTTTTAAAGTATACAGAGGCTGGGTGCAATTGGCTGGGTGCATCCCACCACTTTGGGAAGCTGAGGCAGAGGATTGCTTGAGGCCAGGAATTCAAGACCAGCCTGGACAACATAGCAAGACCGCCATCTCTACAAAAAATAAAAAATTAGTCAGGTGTGGTGATGTGTATCTGTAGTCCCAGCTACTTGGGAGGCTGAGGCAGGGAGATTGCTTGAGCCCAGGAGTTCAAGGTTGCAGTGAGCTGTGGTTGGTCCACTATATTCCAGCCTGGGCAAAAATGATTTTTAATTAAAAAATAAAATAAAATTTTTAAAAATTAAGTATATGGATATCCAGTTGATCAAGTACCATTTTTTGAAAAACTGCCTTATCCCCACGTTGGCAGCTTTGTTAAGAACCAATTGACCATTTTTGTGCAGATTTATTTCCGAACTCTGTTCTGGTTATTTTAAAAATTATTTGGGTTATTCTGAATCTTTTGCTTATCCATATAAATTTTAGAAACAGCTTGTCAATTTCTACCCCAGAAAACCTGCTGGCATTTTAAATGGAATTGCACTGGGGAGAATTGACATCTTCAGAATATTGCTTTAACTGCATCTCACATATTTTGTTATGTTACATTTTTATTCAGTTCTATGTATTTTTGTATTTCCATTAAGCCTTTCTCTTTGGATTATTTGGATTATTACTTTCTGTTACTGATATCCAGTGTGATTCCATTATGGTCAGGAAATACACTCTCTGATTTGATTCTTTTACATTTCTGGGGGTTTGTTTTATGATCCAGGATATACTCTGTCTTGGTGAGTGTTCCATGGATGCTGAAAATATATATTCTGCTATTGTCAGGTACCGTGTTCCCTGTATATGTCAATTAGATCCTGTTGATTATATTGTTTAATTCTATATCCTTGCTGATTTTTTGGCTAGTAGTTCTATTAATTGCTAAGAGTAATAGATTGTTGAAGATCTCAGCTATAATTGTGAATTTTTTCTGTTTCTCCTTTCAACTCTATCAGGTTTTGCTTAATGGTTTTTCAGCCTCTATTGTTTGGTGCACAGTCGACCCTTGAACAACATGGGTGAATAAGGGCATCACCCCCCCAATCCCCGCACAGTCAAAAATCCACGTATAACTTTTTTTCTTTATTCTTTTTTTTTTTTTTTTTTTTTGAGACAGAGTCTCGCTCTGTTGCCCTGGCTAGAGTGCTGTGGTGTCAACCTAGCTCACAGCAACCTCAAACTCCTGGCTCAAGCGATCCTTCTGCCTCAGCCTCCTGAGTAGCTGGGACTACAGGCATGCGCCACCATGCCCGGCTAATTAATTTTTTCTATATATTTTTAGTTGGCCAACTAATTTCTTTCTATTTTTAGTAGAGACGGTGTCTTGCTCTTGCTCAGACTGGTCTCAAACTCCTGACCTTGAGCGATCCTTCCTCCTCGGCCTCCCAGAAAGCTGGGATTACAGGCGTGAGCCTGGCCTGCCGTTTTTTTTGTTTTGTGTTTTTGTTTTTTTTGAGACAGAGTCTCACTTTGTTGCCCAGGCTAGAGTGAGTGCTGTGGCGTCATCCTAGCTCACAGCAACCTCAAACTCCTGGGCTCAAGCAATCCTCCTGCCTCAGCCTCCCGAGTAGCTGGGACTACAGGCATGCACCACCATGCCCGGCTAATTCTTTCTATATATTTTTAGTTGACCAATTAATTTCTTTCTATTTATAGTAGAAATGGGGTCTCGCTCTTGTTCAGGCTGGTTTCGAACTCCTGATCTCGAGCAATCCGCCCGCCTCGGCCTCCCAGAGTGCTAGGATTATAGGCGTGAGCCACAGCGCCTAGCCTGGCGTTATTTCTTATAGCGCTTTTTCAATCCTATTTTCCCTCCTCTCATTCTGTAACTCCTATAATATGAATTTAACTCCCTTGTTATCCCACAGGTCCCTGAGACTCTCTTCATTTTTTTCAGTTCATTTTCTCTGTTGTTCACATTGGGTACATTCTATTGATCTGTCCTTAAGTTCACTGAGTCTATCCTTTGTATCACTCTAATAGTAAGCTCATCCTTACTTTTAGTAAGTGAGTTTATTTAGATCATTGTATTATTCAGTTCTATAATTTCCATTTGGTTCTTTTTATATAATTTCCATTTCTTTGCTGAGATTTTTTTACTCATTTGTTTCAAGCATTTTTATGATAGCTCCTTTAACATCCTAATCAAATAATTCCAACCTCTGATTCATCTCAGTGTTAGCATTTGTTGATTATCTTTTCATTCAGTTTGCAATCTTCCTGGTTCTTGCTAGGACAAATGATTTTTTATTGTATCCTGGACATTTTATTTTATTTTCTAAATTTCAAATACATTCTTTTTTAATTTTTTTTTTTTTTTTTTTTTTTTTGAGACAGTCTCTCACTTTGTTGCCCAGGCTAGAGAGTGCCGTAGCGTCAGCCTAGCTCACAGCAACCTCAATCTCCTGGGCTCAAGCAATCCTTCTGCCTCAGCCTCCCAAGTAGCTAGGACTACAGGCATGCGCCACCATGCCCAGCTAATTTTTTCTATGTATATTAGTTGGCCAATTAATTTCTTTCTATTTTTATAGTAGAGACAGGGTCTCACTCTTGCTCAGGCTGGTTTTGAACTCCTGACCTTGAGCAATCCTCCCGCCTCGGCCTCCCAGAGTGCTAGGATTACAGGTGTGAGCCACTGCGCCCGGCCTGGACATTTTAGATGTTGTGAGACTTTGGATCCTATTTAAGCTTCTTTTTGGTAGACAGTCTCCCTGCATGCCGGAGATGGAGCAAAGGGATCACGTGAGGGTATATGTTCAGCTTCCTGCTGGGCCCGTGCACACCACCCAGTACATTGCCTCATTGCAGATGGATGGAGTGGATGTTGCCCTTTGGCTGCCCCAATACCATCCCTGTGAAATGGGGCAGTGACTTGCATGACATTGTCATCTCTGAGTTCAGCTCCCTGCTAGACCCTGCTGACACCAAGGGGAAGATGCGGGAAGCAGAATGTCAACTAGCATGCCTCCCATCCCCTTGTTCTGCCTCATTGACACCAAATAGGAGAGGCTCAGTTCCCCAATGGGCCTCGCTGGCACCAGGGAAGGAGAGAAGTGCAATATCAACTACCTTGACTTACATCACCTGTTTCTCTCTTGTTGCTGCCAGGTGGGGTGGGGGGTAGAAGTTCAGCTCCCCACTGACCCCTGCACACACCAAGGGCTTGGAGAACGTGGAGTGCCACTAGACTGACCTCACAGAACTTTGCAGAACCTCGCTAATTCTAATTGCTGCCAGGTGGGGTTGGAGGCTCACCACGCCACTGACACTAACTTAAGGAGAATTGGAATGTCACCTTCTTCCACCAGGTAGTGCTGTGGAAGACCAGTTTCCGCTGAGCCTGCCGACACCACCCGGACAGGTAATGAGAACGTGCCTGCATCTGCTCAATGAATGATCGGGTTCTGCTCAGCCCCCATGGCATTTGACCGGACCAGGGTAGGAATTGCCAAAGGTTTCTGAGGTCAGGCTACCCTTTCTCCAGCTCTTTAGCTAGGCAAAATTGGCTTATCTTGGAGCTTTTTTCGTCTGTGCCTATTGAGATGTCCAGTTGGAGGCTTCCATGCCCCCGATCTGGGAGTTATGGGAGGCAATAAGAAAATCTGCAGGCTGGGCGCAGTGCTCATGCCTGTAATCCTAGCACTCAGGGAGGCCGAGGCGGGCGGATTGCTTGAGCTCAGGAGTTTGAGACCAGCCTGAGCAAGAGGGAGACCCCATCTTTACTAAAAAAAGAAAATACAAAAAATTAGCCAGTCACCTAAAAATGAAACAAAAAATCATCCAGGCATGGTGGCACATGCCTATAGTCCCAGCTACTCGGGAGGCTGAGGCAGGAAGATCGCTTGAGCCCAGGAGTGTGAGGTTGCTGTGAGCTAGGCTGATGCCACGGCACTCTAGCCAGGGCAGCAAAGCGAGACTCGGTCTCAAAAAAAAAACCAAGAAAATCTGCAGAGCTCACCATGTCCCTCATCAAGTCCCAAGGCCCTTAGGCCACCAGCATCTTTTAGAGCCGTCCTATGTTTATCTGTTAACGTCCAGGACTTTTCAGTTGTAAGGAAGAGGATTTGGAAGGAATGGGCTGCTCCCTCTTGACCAGAACCCCCTTCAGGTATAGCCTTTTATATTAATTTTGGGAAGCACTGTGTGGGCATTTAGTTGCAGCTTTTTAATGTCACTGAGTACAAGCTCATTGCTATTAAGTATCTATTTTGACTCATATCTTTTAGTCTAAAGTGACTTTATGCTCTGTCCAGTGAATTATATACTTTTTTTTTTAGTCAGAGTCTCACTTAGTTGCCCAGGACTAGAGTGAGTGCCATGGCATCAGCCTAGCTCACAGCAACCTCAAACTCCTGGGCTGAAGCAATCCTCCTGCCTCAGCCTCCCGAGCAGCTGGGACTACAGGCACGTGCCACCATGCCAGCTAATTTTTTCTATATATTTTTAGCTGTTCAATTAATTTCTTTATATTTTTAGCAGAGACGGGGTCTCGCTCTTGCTCAGGCTGCTTCCGAACTCCTGACTTTGAGCGATCTGCCCGCCTCAGCCTCCCAGAGTGCTAGAATTACAGGTGGGAGCCACCACGTCTGGCCTATATACTTTTTTAAAAAGATATTTTGACTCTTGTATTCTTTGACTATTCTTTTGCTTTTAACCATTTTAGCTAGTTTTGTTTATATTTTATGACTACATTTTGTTTTTTTAGTCTCACCTAAAAGATTTTATCTTTTATTAATGAATTTACCCCAACTTCATTTATTGTTATGACTGATTTGGGTTGTCCTCTGTCAACTTGTTTTATTCTCGCTAATGGAATTTTAGGAGAGGGATTTCGGCTCTCATTCTTGCCCCTTCCCTAAATCATTCTGTGACTACAATTTCACACTACGGTTGTGAATTTCACCTAATGGTTGTTTCACACTGTGGCTGAACAGTTTCCTTCCATGGAAGACTTAGTGACTGAAGAATAGCCAGTTGTTCATACTTTGTTAAAGAATCTGCTTTGATTTGTGTAAATACTCTGTTCCTACCTTTAATCTTGTCATCTGGGGGTAGTTTAGATTCCAAGAACATAACCTGTCTGATTATGAAAGGTGTGAATTCAGATTAGAGTCATTTCTGTTGTTCTGCATCAATGTGACAGCAGTAAGCCTTTACTTACGTGACTCTAATAACCTTTTCTTTCAGATGAGGATTTTAACTATTCGGACCCAGAATTTCTTGGTGGATTTTTAAAGTATGGATTTAATACCATTATCAGTAGAAGTGTGGGCTTTGAGAGAGCTGTACCAGATACCAGGCATAAAATGTATGTTCCTTCTACCTATATAGATATGTATTTAACCCGTTACTAACCAGACCCGTTACTAACCAGATGTTAATTTTAGCAAATTAGGAGTCTTATAATATGGATTCTTATTTTTAGAGCTTGAAGTCGGATAATGTCAAGATGCCATTTCAAGATTCCAATGCTCATAGTGTAGAGAATATCTTCTGCATTGGCACAGAGTGTGCTCTGGGGGGGCTCCAAGAATTGAGTCACCCACAGATCTTTTCATTAAATCACCAAGAAGGGGTTTTGGCCAAAGGAATTCATTCCTGATATAAAATGCCTTGGACAGATACCTATTTTTTCCTTGAAAGTCTGCTTTTTTAAAATTGTTCCTTCAATCATTTGTGTTGATGCATTTTTTAAAAATGTATGGTAAAATACATATAACATAAAAGTTACCATTTTTGCCACTTTTAAATGTACAATTTAGGGATATTAAGTACATTCACATTGTTGTGCAATTGTCATTACTATCCATCTCCAGAACTTTTTCATCACACCCAATGGAAACCCTGTATCCATTAAACAGCTTCCCATTTCCTCTTCCTCCCAGCCCTGACAGCAGCCATTCTACTTTGTGTCTGTATGAATTTGACAACTCTAGGTACCTCATATAAGTAGAATCATACAGTATTTGTCTTTTTCATGACTGGTTTATTTATTTCACATAGCATAAGGTCCTCAAGGCTCATCCATGTCGTAGCATGTGTTAATCCCTTTTTAAAATCTGTCAGGTTCTGATAGTTTCAGGTAAAAAGGGATGGTATTCTGCTTTAATTTTAAATGAGAAGCCCTTAAAGAGTACAGACATCTTCCACTAAAACAGACAAAGGCCAAGTTCCAGGAAACAGGAGCAAGTGGGGCACTTTGCTTCATTGCAATTTGTGTGTAACACAAACATGTGAAGCCACAAATATCATTTACGATATAGCACACTTAAGAGATGTAGTGATTGTACATAATTGCACATGACCTCTCTGGATCATAATAGAAGAAAAAGAATGTAAATTTACTCAAACCATGCAACATGACATGAATTTCATTTAGAGGACAATGTTTTACTCAACTGAGTATTTAACTGCCACAAAGGAAGGTCAATATTTTTTAATGCCTTTAGGTTATGGATTTCTCTAAGTGCCACAATTTCTACCCCCTAAATCTCGCTTTCTAAAATAGTGTGAGTGCCTTTGTTTCCATTCCCCACAACACGGGATTATTTGTTAGGAAAAACAGAAAGTTTAGAGATATTTGTCCAAAAAGGGAAGTGGACTTGGCTGTTTTATATTAAAAATACTAACTAATTTAATTGTAAATTTAATTCTGTATGAAGAACACTACTATGTTTATAATATATTTTAAATGCTAAGAGTAGCTACTACTATCTTGAGTCCAAGCAGATTTTCAGCCATTATTATAGTAACCATATTATTACATTAAATGGAATTTCCATTTCAGCATTGCCTTTGTTTTCTTAATTTAGTTTTTATTTCTTAATCAAAAATTAAAATTGTGTATATTTATGATGTAGAACATAATGTTTTAATATATGTATACACTGTGGAATGGCTAAATCAAGCTAATTAACATATGCACTATCTTACATACTTACCACTTTTTGTGCTAAGAGCACTTAAAATCTACTCTCTTAGCAACTTTCAAGTATACAATATGTTGTTATTTTAGGTTTCACAATGAGCAAGATCATGTGGTATTTGTCTTTCTGTGCCTGGCTTATTTCACTTAATATAATGTCCTTCAGGTTCACCCATGTTGTTGCAAACGACAAATTTTTTTCCTTCTTTTGTTAAGGCTGAATAGTATTTCATTGTATACATGTACTACATTTTCTTTATCCCTCAGCCATTGATGGACACTTAGGTTGATTCCATATCTTGGCTATTGTGAAAAATGCTGCAATGAACAAGAGTGCAGATATCTCCTCAGCATACTGAGTTTATATCCTTTGGATATATATCTAGAAGTGGGATTCCTGGGTCATACTGTTTTTTCATAATGGCTGTATTAATTTATGTTCCCACCAACAGTGTGCAAGGATTCCCTTTTCTCCACATTCTTGACAACACTTGTTAGATTTTGTCTTTTTGATAACAGCCATTCTAACAGGTGTGAAGTGGTATCTCATTGTTTTAATTTGTATTTCCCTGATGATTAGTGATGGTGATCATTTTTTCATGTACCTATTGGCCATTTACATATCCTCTTTTGAAAAATGTCTGTTCAGGTCCATTGCTGATCTTTTGATCAGGTTATTTATTTTCTTACTATTGAGTTGTTTGAGTTCCTTATGTATTTTGGGTGTTAACCTTTTGTCAGATGTATGGTTTGCAAATATTTTCTCCCATTCTGTATGTTGTCTCTTCACTCTGTTGATTGTTTCCTTTGCTGTGCAAAAGCTTTTTAATTTGATGCAATCCCATTTGTCTATTTTTGCTTTTGTTGCCTGTGCTTTTGGGGTCATATTGAAAAAATCATTCCCCAGACCAATGTCAAAGAGTTTTCCCCCTATGTGTTCTTCTAATAATTTTACAGTTTCAAGTCTTATATTTAAGTTTTTAATCCATATTGAGTTGATTTTTGTATATGCTATAAGATGAGGGTCTATTTCATTCTTATGCATGTGGATATCCAGTTCTCTCAGTACCATTTGTTGAAGAGACTGTCATTTCCCCATAACATGTTCTGGGCATTGATAATCAATTGACCATAAATGCATGGATTTATTTCTGGCCTTTTTATTCTGTTCCATTGGTCTATGTGCCTGTTTTTATGCCAGTACTGTGCTGGGATTTTTTAAAAACATTATTTCTTTTTGTTTCCACACACAGCATTGACAGTGCTTGCTATTTTGGTTACTATTAATACTATAGGTTTGTAGCAGATTTTGAAATCAGGTGGTGTGATGCCTTTGGCTTTGTTCATTTTACTCAAGGTTGCTTTGGCTATTTGGGGTCTTTTGTGGTTCTATATGAATTTTAAGATTGTTTTTTTCTATTTCTCTGAAGAATGACATTGGAATTTTGATAGAAATTACATTGAATCTGTAGATCACTTTGGGTAGTATGGACATGTAAACAACATTAAATCTTCTAATCCATGAACATGTGGTATCTTTTCATTTGTGTTTTCTACAATTTATTTCATCAATGTTTCATAGTTGTCAGTGTACAGATCTTTTACCTCCTTGGTTAAATTTTTTCCTAAGTTGCTTTTTCTTTTAGCTCTTGTAAATGGGATTGTTTTCTTGATTTTTTTTTTTGATACTTTGTTGTTAGTGTATAGAAAAACTATTGACTTTTTATGTTGGCTTTATATCCTATAATATAACCAAATTTTTTTATTAGTTCTAACAGTTTTTTGTGGAGCGTATAGGGTTTTCTATATATTATGTTGGCTTTATATCCTATAACATAAACAAATTTTTTTATTCTAACAGTTTTTTGTAGAGCATATAGGGTTTTCTCTATATAAGATCATGTTTGGGCCAGGTGCGATGGCTCACGCCTGTAATCCTAGCACAATGGAAGGCCAAGGAGGAAGGATTGCTCAAGGTCAGGAGTTCGACACCAGCCTGAGCAAGAGCGAGATCCTGTCTCTACTAAAAATAGAAAGAAATTAATTGGACAACTAAAAATATATAGAAAAATTTAGCCGGCATGGTGGCACATGTCTGTATCCCAGCTACTCGGAGGCTGAGGCAGAAGAATTGTTTGAGCCCAGGAGTTTGAGGTTGCTGTGAGCTAGGCTGATGACATGGCACTCTAGCCTGGGCAGCAGAGTGAGACTCTGTCTCAAAAAAAAAAGATCATGTTGTCTGAAAATAGAGATAACTTCTTCCTGATTTGAATGCCTGATTTGCCATTTCAATCGAGAAATCAGAATTTTCTCTTGCCTAATTGCTCTGGCTAGAAATTCCAGTATAATGTCCAACAGAAGTAGAAAGAATAGGCATCCTTGTCTTGTTCCTTTTCTTAGAGGAAAAGCTTTCAATGTTTTGCCATTGATCATGATGTTAGCTGTGGGTTTGTCATATATGGCCTTTATTGTGTTGCAGCACATTCCTTTTATACCTAATTTGTTGAAGGTTTTTAATCATAAAATGATGTGGAATTTTGCCAAAGGCTTTTTCTGCATCTATTGAGATGATGATATGGTTTTTGTCCTTCATTCTCTGAGTGTGGTGTTCCATATTTATTGTTTTGGTCATGTTGAATCATCCTTGTATCCCAGGGAACAATTCTACTTGATCCTGGTGAATGATCCTTTTTTTTTTTTTTTTTGTTGGAGGACAGAGTCTCGCTTGTTGTCCAGGCTAGGATGAGTGCCATGGCGTCAGCCTAGCTCACCAGAACCTCAAACTCTGGGCTCCAGTGATCCTTCTGTCCTCAGCCTCCCGGGTAGCTGGGACTACAGGCATGCGCCACATGCCGGCTAATTTTTTATATATATATCAGTTGGCCAATTAATTTCTTCTATTATAGTAGAGACGGGTGAATGATCCTTTTAATGTACTGTTGAATTTGGTTTGTTAGCATTTCCTTGAGGATTTTTGCATTGGTGTTCCTGAAGGATATTGGCCTATAATTTTCTTCTCTTGTAGTGTCCTTGTCTGTTTTTGTATCAGGGTAATGCTGGCCTCATAAAATGAGTTTGGAAAATATTCATTCCTTTTCAATTTTTTGGAAAAGTTTGAGGAGAATTGATATTAGTTCTTCTTTAAATTTTTGATAGAATTCAGGCCAGGCACGGTGGCTCATGCCTGTAATCCCTACACTCTGGAGGCCTAGGGAAGATTGTCAAGGTCAGGAGTTCGACACCAGCCTGAGCAAGAGCGAGATCCTGTCTCTACTAAAAATAGAAAGAAATTAATTGGACAACTAACAATATGTAGAAAAAATTAGCCGGACATGGTGGCACACACCTGTAGTCCCAGCTACTCGGGAGGCTGAGGCAGAGGCAGAAGGATAGCTTGAGCCCAGAAGTTTGAGGTTGCTGTGAGCTAGGCTGATGCCATGGCACTCTAACCTGGGCAACAGAGTGAGACTCTGTTTAAGAAAACAAAATAAAATAAAATAAAATAAAATAAATAAATTTTTGATAGAATTCAGCAGTGAAGTCATCCAGTGCTGGATGGATGGGATATGTCTATTACTGATTCAATCTCCTTACTGATTATTGGTCTCTTCAAATTTTCATTTTCTTAATGATTCAGTCTTGATAGATTGTATGTTTCTAGGAATTTATCCATTTCTTCTAGGTTGTCTAATTTGTCAGCATATAATTATTTATAGTAGTTTTTTATGATCCTTTGTATTTCTGTGGTATCAATTGTTAAGACTCTTTTCACATGATTGCAGTGGGAACAATGATTTTATATTTTGACCCTATTTTTTGGCCCCAGTTGTTGAGCCCAGGGATGAGTACCTGGGCCAAGTTGGGCCAGTGAATTTTTTCCTATAAATTTTTGATCTTGGGGAAGAGAAAATCCTATCAGTTTCTCCATTGGTGCTGGACTACAAGATATGCTGATATTAAGCACATTTACCACTCTATGGAATTAAAGAAGTGGAAATGAGCCCAGTTACAGAGAGAGAATAATAATCATAGTGAGCCTATACCTCTATATGCTGGGCCCTGTTCTGAGCATCAAACACATGTTAATTCATTGAACCCTCACAGCCCTGTGAGGTAGGTTATGTTGCTATTATTATTACCATTAGATCATTCCTAGATGTAAAGATAAGAGCAGAGGTGCAGAGAGTGTTTAGATGTCACTCGAGCATCTCGTTCCAATAGCTTTTTGAGGCTCCAGCTGCATTCCTGTAACTAGGTCTTGTGAGACATTTAGGTCATCTTTTAATATACCTCCCTTCCTTTTGTTTAGGTTAGCTCTAGTAGTTTTCTGAAATTTACCACCAAAATATTTCAAAATATAACCAAATAATATAGCAATCCAAACTGCAATTAACAGTTAATGACTAATATTACTAGAACTCAGCTTCTATTGTTCTTTCGTGTACACAAAAAAAATAATAAAACACTTTTGTCAAGTACTTGGAAGAAATCCAATCACACCATATCTATTACCCTTTTGTGTTACAACAGACTCCATAAATATAAGAATAGGGCACAATGAGTTTTATTTGAAGGGAATACAGTAAAGTTAATGTGAACCTTTCCATGTGTATGAGTCTAATAATTCATTTTTATAATAGAAACTAAAATATGGATATAATTTGTGTTTTTGCTATTTAAAATATAACTAAGATTACCAAAGAGAGTCTCAGGAAAGAGCAACTAGTACTGGCATTAAGAAGAGGGAACTGATTTAGATAATATTAGAGTAACATAAGTTAAAGACATTTTTATATCTTAATTTTTGTATTTTTAGATGTCCTGTCATCTTGTTATCACAGTCATCAATGGAAGGAGTAAAGAGGAAAAAAGATGAAATAGGGACAGGGGTTTGACTGAGACCCTAAAACATCCAAGGCTTTTAAATGGATCATTTTCTTCTCATCATTTATGCCTGCAGGTGTCGTCAAAAGCATTACTCATTCCATCTACCTTCTGCCAGTGTCATCATCTGCTTCCATAATGAAGAATTTAATGCCTTGCTTCGGACATTATTCAGTGTTGTGAATCTCACTCCAGATAATTTCCTTGAAGAAATTATTTTGGTAGATGACATGAGTGAATTTGGTAAGATAGAACACTGATTATCTAATCTACTTTGAAGGTAGTGTTCTCCCTGATGGCACCTGAGTATTTTATATGAAGAATACTTTTGGTGGGTGTTGAGGCAGGCACTACAATGCCTCTTTTGTAGAGACCCAGTCTAAGCCGGGCATGGTGGCATGTGCCAGTAGTGCCAACTCCTCGGGAGGCTGAGGCAGGAAGATCGCTTGACCCCAGAGTTTGAGAGTTTGAGGTTGCAGTGATCTATGATGATGCCACTGCACTCTAACCTGGGCAACAGAATGAGACCCTGTCTCAAAAAAAGAAAGAAAGAAAGTTAGAATTTCTGTGGAATAGCATGGTTTTTAGGAAACAGTCATAATGATGGTAAATTGTTTCAAATTTCCATAGTTGCAATTTATAAATTGTCAAATGTTGGATATTTTTCCAGATGATTTGAAAGAAAAACTAGACTATCACTTGGAAATTTTTCGAGAAAAGATTAAGTTAATAAGAAACAAAGAGAGAAAGGGGCTGATTCGAGCAAGGCTGATTGGAGCATCTCGTGCATCAGGTAGGAACATTCCTGAGGACATGAGCCAGTGACGTGTCACAGGGATCCTACTTTCCTGTGCAGGAGCAATCCCATGCACGAATAATCCAGCGGTAGACCGCATCTCCACTGGCTTTATCAGAAGAGTGGAAATATTACTCCAGCCATATTAGCCTTTGATCTTCTTTCGCCTACCAAAAGTATTCTGCTAAAGCAGAATACTGCCAATTTGTTATTTTGAATGAAAGATATTCTTTTGCAGGGACTGTAATGTCAGCCCCTGTAACGGGCTGAGTTCCCCGGGTGCAAACTCTGAGGTGGAGTGAGGAAAGGCGACTGGACGGGTGTGCAGGGAGATGAGGCGCCTGCCGCGGGCAGGTCTGAAGCCAGGCCCCGGGAAGTTCAGGGCCCCACAAGGAAATGACAAGAGAAAGTGTGCTGGGGGAGGCGCCTGTGAAGGATAAAGGAGAGAGGAAGTAGTGTGGGCGGAAGCTTCCGGCCTGACACCCATGAAGGGCGAGAGGAGGCGGTGGTTAACCTCGAAGAGCTTCCGCTCGAGGTGCGCCTTTCAGAAAGGCTCGGCCGGTAGTGGGGAGCCCGGGTGCAAAGTTGGCCGGTGGGGGAGTCCTGCATCGGGCCTGAATGGCCCACCTTTAATACCCCTCTATACGCACACTGTGCTTAGTCACTGGGTTGGGAGCACCCTGGAGAGAGTGTGACCTCGGTGTCAACTGCAGTAGATCCCAAAGCTTTGGCAGCAGGAAATTGTCAAGTGCGCTCCTCACAGCAGGTTCTCTTGAAGGGAGCTCTGAGCAGCACAGTCTCAGGGCTACGACAAGGAGCGGTTCACAGAGGTCCCAGATCCAGGTGAGGGGATCAGGCATGACATTGGATGTGAACACCGCTCTCCCCTCCCATGGGAGGAGGCATCGCTTTGGACATGTTAGCCATGGCCAGCCAAGGGCAGGCCCTCAGGAAGGACTCACTTGTGAGCCATCAACTGTCAACACTGCTGGGCGCTGAGTCCTGAGGACGTATGAGGAGCTCACTGAGGGTCCACGCTGCCTATTCAAGCTCCACAAATACCCTTTGGAGGGATGTATAGGAAAAGTCCTGTATCAGGCAGGCTTGGCCTCATTCCCTCACTCATCACAGGCCCTAAAGAGAAGTTGGCTGAATCTGGGACAACCAATATGGTTCTTAGATAGAATGCAAAAGAATGCTTGGTTGGTTATCTCTAAAAACAATAAATGACATAATCCTTTCTATAATTACAGAGGCCAAGAGAAGTAGAGCAACTTTTCCTAACAATGAACTTCAGATTCTCACAAAATATTCTTATGAGTGAGAGAATCAGCTGAGGAACATCTATAGCACATACATTTTCCCTATAAAATACTTTATGATGAGTGAAAAACAATGTTCCATTGAAATGTAGGTGCTAGGTGGCTTGTTCCCACATTTTGTACTAATTTAAATCAGTACTTAGAAAAATTCTGTGTTAATTTTGCGTAAAGTATACTTTTAAGTTGCTTTTTAATTTATAAGACTACATTTATGGTGTTTGGGATCAACCAAATTGTCAAAGTTGCAAATATTTAAATCTTTAAATTCTAAGGGTAAAAGTGTACACTATATATGACAAAGAAGACATCACAAGTCAGTATAGGAAGAGAGACTTGTAAAATTTGGTTTTTTTATTTAAATTTTGTTTTGTTTTGTTTAATTTTTTTGTTCTATAAGAAAACCTTATACCCATTAAGCAGTTTCTCCCCAATTTTCCCTTCACTCTAGACCCTGGCAACCACCAATCTGTGTTCTGTCTCTTATGGACTTACCTATTCTGGATATTGCAAAGAAATGGAATCATATAACATATGCTCTTTTGTGTTGGCTTCTTTTACTTAGCATGATGTTTCTAAGGTTCATCCACATTGTAGATGTATTGGTACTTCATTCATTTTTATGGCTGAATAATATTCCATTCTATTATAGGGCACAGTTTGTTTCTCCATTCATCTGTTGATGACTGTTTGGGCTGTTTCCATCTTTTGGCTATTATAAATAGTATTGTGGGTAATATGCACATACATGTATTTGTTTGAATTCTTTTGGGTATGTACCTAGCAGTGTAACTGCTCAGTCATATGGCAATTCTATGTTTACTTTTTTGAGGAGCTGCCAAAATCTTTTCTACCGTGACTGCACCATTTGTATTCCTACCAGCAATATACAGAGTTCTAATTTCTCCACATCCTTGCCAAAACTTGTTATTTTCAATTTTTAAAATTCTAGCCATCATAGTGAGTGTGAAATGGTACCTCAGATGGGTTTTAACTTGTATTTGCTTAATGATAAATGATGTTGAGCATCTTTTCATGTGTTTGTTAGCCATTTCTACATCTTTGGAGAACCAGATGTTTATTTTTACCTATCAAATTAACAGACATGATTTTAAAATGCTAATGTTATATAATATTATAGAAGCTATTTTAGGTAAAAGATGCAAAGGGTAAAACTGTGTGCTGCCAATAGCATGAAAAATTTATGTATGTTCAAAATGAGACACTTCTTAGCTCAGTTTTGGTTGACAGGAAGACAACAAATGTTATATTCCAAAGTGAGTTGTCAGACTGACCATGATAAATTTCAAAATAGATATCTGAGAACCAATGAGACAACTCAGCCACACTGAGTCTGATTGTTAGAGATTAGAGGAGATTTAAGGAGAAAGCTGCTGGTTGAAGCCTGGTGAGAGGGACTTGATTGGAGTTCCTTGTACTGGAGATTAACACATTCTCAGCACATTGCTAACAAAATAAGATGTGAGCTAATGTTAATTGGACTGTGGCTGGCTGCAAAACCAAGGATACATGCTTCTAGGTTAGTGTCTATATTTGTGGCAGAGTTTGGTCAGGTGATGTTTGAGTGAGAGTGCTGCAGGGGTCATCTTAGATGGTCTCCAGTGTGACTATCCAGAAGGATGGACAGCTCTCAGCAGAGGAGAAGCTGGAGGTAGAACACGGATCTTAAGGAGCTGAGGAGAGAGTGTGGACCATCAGAAGAGAATGCACTTGCCTGGCATGGGAACTGTCGTCAAGAGACCACAGGGATGGAAAGGAGGGGGTCCTGAAAATTATCATGCCGGACACACCCTGAGAGAAGAAATCAGCTTAAAGGGCACCATGCTATCCTTAGCACAGGTCCAGGCAGGAAAGAACTTTCTTTCCCTGACTCTCCTCCTCTCTCACCCACCATTCCCATCAGCATTAGACAGCATTCCAGTTGCTCCACAACCTTACCAACACTTGCTATTGTCTGTCTTTTTTATTCTAGCCATTCTAGCGGGTGTGAAGTGACATCTCGTTGTGATTTTGATTAAGATTTCGTTAATGACCTATGATGTTGAACACCTTTTCACATTCTTGGTAGTCAATTGTATAGTAGTCAACTTCTTTGAATAAATGTCTATTTAACTCCTTTGCCCATTTTTAAATCAAGTTATTTGGCTTATTGTTACTGAGTTGTAAGAGTTCTTTATACATTCTGGATACAGGTCCTTTATTAGATTTATGATTTGCAAATGTTTTCTCCCATTTTATGGATTTTTTTTCAGTTTCTTGATGGTTTCTGTTTAAGCACAAAAGTCTTTAGTTTTGTTGAAGTCCAATTATGTATTTTTTCCTTTGTCACCTGTGTTTTTGGTGTCATATCTAAGAAATCATTTGGTCTAACCCAAGGTCATAAAATTTATGCCAGTATTTTCTTCTGAGTTTTCCTTTTTCCTCCCAAACCCTTAGTAAATTTGCATTTTCTGAGTTTTATAGTTTTAGCTCTTACCTTAGTTCTGTGATCTTTTTGACTTAATTTCTGAGTATGTATGGTATGAGGCAGGGTTCCAACTTCATTCTTTTGCATGTGAATACCTAGTTGTCTCAGCACCATTTATTGAAAAGACTATACTTTCTCCATTGAATTTTCTTGGCCCTTGTCAAAACTCAATTGACCATAAACACAATGTTTATTTCTGTACACTCAGTTCTATTTCTTTGGTCTATATATCTATCCTTATGCTAGTATTGGATAATTAACTAGTTACTCAATTACTAGTAATCACTGTTTTGATTATTGTTGCTTTGTAGTAAGTCTTGAAATCAGGGAGTCTTTCAACTTTGTTTTTCTTTTTCAAGATTGTTTTGGCTAATTTGTGTCCCTTGCCTTTCTGTCTGAATTTTGTCATCAATTTCTACAAAAAGAATCAGATGGGATTTTGATAGGTGTTGCACTGCATCTGTAGATTGATTTGGAGATTATCTCCATTTTAACAATATTAAGTCTTCTGATCCAAACTTCTCTAATGATGTTATGTTGTCTATAGAAAAGGTCTAAACTCTGCTACCTGAATTTTGAGGTTCCTTCCAAGTTGAGCCCATATAATGTGCTTTGACAACACACTCTCTTTACTTTGGCCATGCCAATTATTCTCCTGTCCTCTAAGTAGAATTAGACCCTCATTAAATCTTGAACTCAACAGCAAAAATTATCATGCATCTTTGCATCCCAACCACCAAACTCAATGCCTAAGAAGGTATCCTCTCAGTAAAAGTTTGCTAAAATAAGTCGATCGGTCAAGGCCAAGCTAAAATCTTTTCTTTTTTCTTTTCTTTTTTAAATTAAGGCCTAGCTCAGTTCCACCTGCTTATCAGGTTCACTGGCCTCTTCTGAACAACTGTGGCACACGATGTCCCGCATTTTCGTGCATAATAAAGTATGTGGTTTGTGTTTCCCCCCAACGTAACTGAAAGCACCTAAGAGCCAAATGCATAGTAAATGCTCAACCAGTACTCATTGCACTGAACGTTGGTTGGTGTGATCCTGGGTTTCGTCCGTGTGGGTTAACAGCACCCTGTTCTTGCCTCCCCAGGGGACGTGCTGGTGTTCCTGGACAGCCACTGTGAGGTGAACAGAGGCTGGCTGGAGCCCTTGCTGGCCGCCATCGCCAAGGACCCCAAAATGGTGGTGTGCCCTTTGATAGATGTCATTGATGAGACAACCCTGGAATATACGCCCTCTCCTGTTGTACGGGGAGCCTTTGACTGGAACCTACAATTTAAATGGGATAATGTTTTCTCCTATGAGATGGACGGACCAGATGGACCTACTAAACCAATCCGGTGAGATTCCTTCAGGTTTTGGGGAAATAGCACATGTGTATTAGAACCTAAAACAACAACAACAACAAAACCCTTTCACTTTCAGAGATTATTCCTTCAATTTTTCTTGGGCTTAATGAAGAGAAATGTTTTGTCACTTATTTCTAGAAGTCTTTAATACAGTAATAGAATTTGGAGGATATTAAGTTTCTTTCATTGAAAATGTACATCTCACCCCATCTCAGATAACCACTGTGGTTAGCACTTCTCTGATCTCAGATGCCCATCATTAGAATGTGAAGTTTGTTCTTAGGAGCAAGTTGTGTGTTGATCAGTGAACCAAAGGCCAGCACTGTGGATAGCCCAGAAAAAGTAGATATGTTTGCCAAATTCATATATAAAATATTTGCCCAAGTGTTTCCATTTGTAATTTCTTAGGTTGAGATGAACCTGACTTTTCCTAGATTATTAGTCATGGAAAATATGAGAATTAATTGCATTTGCTTTTAATTCTCATTTCATTATTCAAAATTTGAATGTTGTAAGTTTTAACTGCATTTATGTGAGGCTATTTTAGAAGAGGGTTCCTTCCAGTCACTACCTACATTTACTGATAACTTTGACACCAGTCTCACTTCTCTTCTCTTGGTATTAACCTTCTTGTATCACAAACCACACAAGTGAACTTTCCAACACTACAGCTAAGCAGGTCCTTGATCTTTGCCTCTATTCTAATTTAGCTAGAGCTGTGTGATCTTACACAAGTTACTTAGCCTCTCTGTGCCTTATTTTCTTATCTGTAAAATCTGGAAAATAATAATACTTCACAGGGTTGTGGTAAGAATTAAATGAATATGTAAATGTCAGCTATTTCATAATTGCTATCTATTTATCATTCCCTCAGTGCTTTGGAAAAACACTGGAACTGTGTTTTCCTCTAAACTCACAATAATCAACCCAGACCGCTTCTCCTCACATGTGGGTGTTCCCCCACACTGCACACAGAGGACATCTGCTGGGTGTCCTCTATTTCAAGTCCAAGGTTACCTGGCCTCAGAGAGTGTCAGGTCCCACAAGTTGAGGGCTCAGTCCCCAAGACCGACCCCTCCTTCTCACCAGTCACACGTCCGGGCCTCTGGAACTGCTGATGGACTGGCTTCAAACTGTGGGTCCCACAACCTCCTCTTGGGAATCGATTTGCTAGAGTGGCTCTCGGCACATTTACTTACATTGTCTGGTTTACTACAAAGGATATCTTAAAAGACACAAATAATTAGCCGGGCATGGTGGCACATGTCTGTAGTCCCAGCTACTCGGGAGGCTGAGGCAGAAGGATTGCTTGAGCCCAGGAGTTTGAGGTTGCTGTGAGCTAGGCTGATGCCACGGCACTCACTCTAACCTGGTCAACAAGCGAGACTCTGTCTCAAAAAAAAAAAAAAAAAGACACAAATAAATAGCTGGATGAAGAGATACGTAGAGCAAGGTCTGGGAGGGTCCTGAGCGCAGGAGGTCTGTCCCCGTGGCATTGGGGTGTGCCACCTTCCCCGCACGTGGATGAGCTCTTGTTCACCTTCCTCTCAGACTCCACGTGTTCAGCTCTCCGGAAGCTCCCTGAACCCTGTCCTTTGGGCCTCTTATGGAGACTTCATTGGTTGTCCATGACCAAAGCACAGGCAACCGAGTCAAAATGTGATCAGGCAGAAAGGGTGTGATCCAAACCCAGCAAGGCCAGTCTGTCCAGATTCTTTTTGCCGCCTCTGTGCAGTGTTCCTTCTTCCAGGGCATAGGGCAGGGTCCTCTGCATGAAGGCCTACAACTCACAATCAGAGTAGAGTCCTGCCGTGGGCAGGGAAAGGAGGACAGGAGAAGGTCGGAGAGAAAGATTCTGATCCCTGAGGCTGCTCCTGAGGTCTAAAGTGCCCCAACACTGTAACAAGGGGGTTATGAGCCAGGAACTGTGGACAGAAACCAACATGTTTATCATGACACCACGCTCAGCCATCTCCTAGACCTCTCATCTTCCAACTAGAGAATCCCAGTCTTCGGCCACAACCCACCGTCTCTCCGGCTGCTTCCTGCTCTTCTCCACACACACCTACCTTGGGCATCACCCACACTTCCACTCCTTTGACTTGTTTTACCCCTTGTAGTTTTCTTTCTTCTTATGTGGCCTGGATTTTCTGATCTATAATTTGCTTTTCCTCTTGCCAGTACCTCCCTGTGCCTCATCCCACAGTACTTCTGCCACGGTCAGTCTGTGGTCCTCCAACACTGAAGCCATGCTGCCATCTATTTTCCTTGTTCCTCGATGTGAGCTGATGTGTTTGCCAAACTTTGAGAGCTGTGAACTGATGCTCCTCCACACTGGCGGTCTCCAGCCACACGCTGCCCTGCAGTCTCTGATCCGCTCATTCCCCGAAGCGGCTGCTCCAGACCTTTGTGACTTCCCTTAGTCCCAAGACCTGCCCCCGCCCTACGCACCCTACTCTCAATTAGCAACTTTGTCTCTTGATTCAAGATAATAGCTATGGCATTCTTTTTTTTTTTTCAGCTATGGCATTAATTAGCTCTCATAACTGAAGTTTTTTTTTTTTTTTTTCCACTTACAATGGTTCTAATTGTAACCACCAAATGTAGAAGCAGTCACTTTTGGAAAACTTAGAGCACAGGTCCTCAAACTTTTTAAACAGGGGGCCAGTTCACTGTCCCTCAGACTGTTGGAGGGCCGTTGGAGAGCGCGGCACACATTCCACACATGCGTACTGTGGGCCCAGGACAAGTCGGCTGCTAAGCAGGACAGGCAGGGGGAGCAAAAACACCTGGTGGGCTTCATAAATGTGCTCAGTGGGCTGCATGTGGCCCTCGGGCCCTAGTTTGTGGATGCCTGACTTAGAGCAATCAAGCACATTCATGGCCCTGGGCACACACCAGTGATAACAAGAGGCTTCCTCAGGTCCCTGGCATGCAGGCGTCGCCAGTTCCTCTTCCTGTCTCCAAACTGTTAACATTGAAGTATCCAGGACTCAGCCCTTGGTCCTCCCCTCTACTCCACTCGCTCACACAGTGATACTCATCTGTCTAACACTGATGACTCCCAGATTTATGTCTCCAGCCCTGGTCACTCTCAGAACTTCAGATGCGGTACCCAACTGCGTCTAACTGCCTACTCAGCATCTCTAATTGAATGCTGGGTAGACATCTCAAATATGTCCAAAAAGTGATCTTCCTGCCAGAAACCTGCTCCACACACTGTATTTCCCATCTCAGTCGCTGGTAACTCCATCTGCCAAGTAGTCAGACGAAAAAGATCAGCGTCAGCCTTGATTCTCCTTTTCTTCCTACTCCCCACCCATATGCAGATCTATTAGCGTCATCTTCAAAATATATCAAGAATTCGACCACATCTCACCGCCTACATTGCTGTACCCCTATCAAGGGTCCCACTATTTTTCTCTGAGACCCCCTGCAACACCCTCTCCTCGATCTCCCTGCTTCTGCCCCTGGCCCCATGCGAGCAGGGGTCTTCCTTTGCTTGTTGAGTTGCTAATTTATCCCTAACACATCATAGGTACTCGATATATAGATACTTTTTTGAACCAATGAGTGAATGGATGAACTTGCAATGGCTTTCAAACCACTTAGTTTGGTATTACTGGGCCCTACTAGTGGTAGATTAAAAAAAAAAAAAAGATGCTTTGTGACTAATGGTTTTTCCAGAAGTAAATATTACAATTCTCTGAATGCCCTTAAAAGGGGAATGCACTAAACTCCACAACCCAATTCATTGCCACCCTCATGGGAGATTCATATTCTAAACATCATTTTCCCTCTCATCAAGACAGCACTTAGAATACATTGCTTACAAAATTTGGTGAGAGCTAAGTAAAAGTCATTGCCTACTTTTAGGTACTTGTAGTTTTAATTTAGTAGTTTTATATGCTTAAATATTTATTGAGATAATTTTCATATTAATATGGTTGTTTTCTAGTTTTTAACTATAAGTTATTGCTGATATTCAATTTAATTTTGAGGAAAATCTATAATGACTATCTCTGTGGAATCAATTTAATATTTATGTTCTCTTTCTAGGTCACCTGTAATGGCTGGAGGAATTTTTGCTATATACAGGCATTATTTCAATGAAATTGGACAGTATGACAAGGGCATGGATCTTTGGGGAGGGGAAAATTTGGAACTTTCCCTAAGGGTAATCCTGACTTTGTTTTTTAAATAGTTACCTTTGGACATAGAGAGTGAAATCTAAGTTTAGGTTACATAAAATGCTGTGGTAATTATGCCCAATTTCCTCCATGGATATCTGGTACCATTCCAGTGTCACATACAATAATTTACAGGGCCCCTTGCAAAAATTGAAAACATTTAGTAAAACATCAGATTCTTCTACCATGTGTTTTTTATTTCTAATATATGATATATCAAATCAATGTCATATTTTTAACCTATCTATGGATTCTTTTTTTATTGTCTTGGTGGTTGTGGGATTTTTTTTCCCCAATCTTTTTCTATTTGGAATTTTATTTTATCTCTATTTCCCTTCCTTCTTCTGGCTGGTTATTTGTTCATTTTTAAAGTTCTTTTAAGCACAGCTTCTCTCATAATGTTTGCGATACTTTATTATGCATATAGAAATCTATAGAGCAATATATTAATAGTTTCCTCCAAGCCCCTATTTGGCAGTATCTCGTAAGTTTGTTGTTTTGTTGCTTTGTGTTCCATTGTGATCCAGGTATTACTTTACAAGCCCCATGCCTTTGGTACTATTTATTCTGTTTGGTTGATCATTCCTCATTTAATTGCATTGCTCTTTGAGAATATAGCATAAGACGTTTACCTCCCTTGGTACCTAATAACTTAATAAGCACTGTGTGCCAGAAAAGAATCAATTTTGTGAATGATACAAGCAGATGTGAAAAGTAAGAGTACTTCTTTTTCTGGGTCTACATTCTTTACAGATAGCAAGTGACAACTAACATTATTCAAATGTATTAATTATCCCTGCTCCAATATTTTCAACTGCTCTATTACTAATGGCCCTGTGTATCTTTTAAGTATGCTTGGATGTCTTCTTATAAACAAATACGTAAATTAATAGATAGCTAAAGCACCCCCTTGACACTGACAGCTATCACTCTGGCCATGCCAAGTAGCCTTGTCTTTCCTAAGAAAAGAATAATCTTGGCCAGGTGCGGTGGCTCACGCCTGTAATCCTAGCACTCTGGGAGGCCGAGGTGGGAGCATTGCTTAAGGTCAGGAGTTTGAAACCAGCCTGAGTAAGAGTGAGATTCCGTCTCTACTAAAACTAGAAAATAAATTAATTGGCCAACTAAAAATATATAGAAAGAATTAGCCGGGCATGGTGGTGCATGCCTGTAGTCCCAGCTACTCGGGAGGCTGAAGCAGAAGGATCGCTGTGAGCTAGGTTGACGCCACAGCACTCTAACCTGGGCAACAGAGTGAGACTCTGACTTAAAAAAAAAAAAAAGAATAATCTTTATACCTGCATATACTTCTCCATTTCTCATTTACTCCTCATTCTAGTAAATAAACATCCTAGAAGGCCCTCAGCATCCTGTGACATCACTCCAGGAACTGTCACCAGTTAAGTACTGATGTCCCTCATGGATGGCTCTTGGTGAAGACTAAAGTGATTCCTCTGGTCTTAGTCAGAATGGCTCCTTCCTGCTGGTGTTGCTTTTATCAGCAGTCCCCAACATCATTTTGGGCACCAGGAACCAGTTCATGGAAGACAATTTTTCCATGGATCAGGGGTTGGAGGGGATGGTTTTGGGATGACTCAAACACATTACGTTTATTGTGCACTTTATTTCTATTATTATTACATTATAATATATAATGAAATAATTATGCAATTCACCATAATGCAGAATCAGTGGGAGCCCTGAGCTTGTTTTCCTGAACCTAGATGGTCCCATCTGGGGGTGATGAGAGATGGTGACACCCAAAGTGTGTTGCTTATGTCCAGTCTACTCTGTAATCCCGTTTTGGTTGTTGTCACTGCAGAAACCCTGCTCCACAAAGATAGGGTGTTGGAAATGGAAGCAGGCTTTTCAGTGCTTGGGTGGCAATCTCAGGATATTCTGCTTTGACTTTAATCCAGAACATATGGAGATTTGAAATTGTCTAAACATACCTTTAAGGCCACTGTCATTTGGGATCTCAAGCAGTTGATCCTCTCACGGACAAAGTCAATTCACCTGGTTTATTCACAAATGGGTTATAGATCCATTCCTTCCCAGTTCGGGGGTCTTTGCATTTGGGAGGTAATGCTTGAACTCTTCTGAAAGTTGAGATAGGTGACCATGCTCCAGCTGGGAGAAAGAAGCCCCCAGCTCAGCCTCTTTCAAAATCTCTGCTAATGTTTGAAACAAGTCAGAAGTCCCAGTGTTCACTTGTCACCCCTGTGATTCCAGTCTGGCTTTGAACGCAGCCACTTTATCTGCTGACTTGAACACAGTGGTCATTCTCCCCTGAAGTGACAGATTGAGCTCCTTGAGCAGGTTGAATATGCCACACAAGTAAGCAAGTTTTGTGACCCATTCTGTGTCACTGAAATGTGCTGCCATAGGTGACTGCTTTTCTAAAAGAAATTTCTGGATCAGTTCTTGTAACTCAAAAGCTCTGGAAAGCGATCTACCTTTAGAAACCATCTCACTTCTGGGTATAAGAGAGGACACGTGTGCTCTGAGTCCGTCTTCTCACAGAGCTGCGTGAACAGACACGAGTTAAGTGTACTTTAATGTGGTTGATGATTTTAATCACGTTGTGCAAAGTGTTGTTTAGTTCAGGTGACATTTTTCGGCTAGCCAGCATTTCCCTATGAATGACAGCATGCAGACTCACATTCAGAAGTGATCTCCTTGCCCCAAGTAGTGAAACCAGAAAGCCACCCAGTCACGGCAGCCGCTCCATCCATGTACACAATGACCAATTCAGTTTTCCTGATATGTCATCATTCAAAGACTTGAAGAGTTCTGCAGCTGTGGTGTCGGTTGGCAACAAAGGTGCACATAACATATCCTCAGGCACATCTCCTGAAAAAGGTGTCACACAAAAACAAGCATTGTTGCCTTGTTATCAACATCGGTAGACTTGTCAATCTGGATTGTGTACCACGGTGACTCATTAATCCTTTCTAACAATTGCGCCTCAATGTCCTCTGCTGTCTCATCAATGCATCCAGTTATGGTGCTAGCCAAATGAGGAGCACGTGCCACCTTTTGAACTGCAGCCTCTCCTAAAATTTCACGGCAAACGTCCTCAGCAGCAGCAGGATCAACTCTTCACCAGGAGTAAAGGGCTTGTTGGCTTTGGCCATGCGGCAGCCACTCAGAATGACGCTCTCAGTGCAGACACATTTGATGAAGTGGTGGCCTTCGATAATTGCTTCTGTTCTTCGTGTTTTTTTCTTTTGAAAAACTCCAAAGGCTTGTCTTTTAGTGCAGGGTGCTTGGTCTCCATGTGGCAGAGCAGTTTTGAAGGTTCCATGGCTTTGTTGGATAGCCGGTCACCACATGTCACACAGAGTGGGCTTGGAGAATGTGATGCACCTGTTGCAATGAACCAGTAAATAAGTAGGACTCCGAGTATTTTCTTTTAAATGCAGCTTTCATTTTGTTGGCAGTCTTAGCGTCTTCTGCTGTCTCATCACTGGGTCTTTCCCCCTTTTCAAAGAAGCTCTCCAGCAATGGTTGGTTTTTGCTCATTTTTGCTAGAGTTAGCTGTGAGCTTACCAAAACTGTGACTGAGACAAGTGTGCAGTGTGGGGAAAAAGGTGTGGACGGAAGTGGTAAATAAAATAATGGGTGGGCCATGCACAGACTAAAATAATAATGTCGGATTCTGACTTAAAGCTGCCACCAGATGCAGCTGTACAATTGAAGCACATCAACTCATTTGCCACTATAAATCCTGCCACCAGATGCAGCTTAATAGTCACTTGCTACTCACTGGTAGGGTTTTGATATGAGTCTGCAAGCAATTGACTGATTAGTTTCTGTGCAGTCAAACCTCTCTGCTCATGATGGTCTGTGTTTGCAGCCGCTCCCCAGCACTAGCGTCACCACCTCAGCCCCAGTTGAGATCATCAGGCATTGGATTCTCATGAGGAACATGCAGCCTAGATCCCTCACATGCACAGTTTACAGCACGGTTCATGCTCCTGTGAGAATCTAATGCTGCCAATGATCCGACGGAGGCGGAGCTCAGGCAGGGATGTGAGCGATGGGGAGCGGCAGTGAACACAGATGAAGCTTCAGTGGCTGCCCACTGTGCACCTCCTGCTGTGCAGCCGGGTCCTAACAGGCTACAGACCGGTACTGGTCCTCAGCCCGGGGTTGGGGGACCGCAGGCTTATATCTGTGTTCACCTGGAGGCACAGCTAGTGCTGGGTACTCCAGGATGGCTTCCTTATGTGGCTGGAAATTGGCTCAGTGGTAGCTGGGGCAACGTGGGTGACCTGGCCACTTGCCTTTCATCTGCAAGCAGGCTAGCCCAGGCTCATTCACGTGGTTCCTAGGAGGAGCGAGAAGGGCAAGTCCCACCGTGCCGCAAAGTCTTTTCAAGCTTCTGCTCACATCATAGTTGCTGATGTGCCATTAACCAAAGCAAATCATGAGGCCAAGATCCAAGTCAAGAGATAGAGAAATAAACTCCACCTCTTAATGGAGTTTATATTGACTAACTCAGAATGTCAGGCCAAGAAGTGAATTTTCTTTTCTATATTTTCCAAGTCTTCAAATGGCCATATTTTATTTTTGCATAGAAAAAAAGCTATTAAAAATAACTGCTATAAGCTGGATATGGTGGCTCACACCTGTAATCCTAGTACACTGGGAAGCTGAGGTGGAAGTCTTGCTTGAGCCCAGGAGTTCGAGATCAGCCTGAGCAACATAGTAAGACCCTCTCTCTAAAAAAGAAATAGAAAAATTAGCCAGGTGTGGCAGCACGCGCCTCTTGTAGTCCCAGCTACTTGGAGGCTGAGCTGGGCGGATCACTTGAGCTCAGGAGTTGGGAGCTACAGTGAGCTATGATCACACCACTGCACTCCAGCCTGGGCAATAGAGTGAGGCTCTGTCTCAAAAACAGAAAACAAAACAAAAATGACCCTTAGTAGTGGACGAAAAAGAAGTAAGTGCTATGAAGTGTTTTAAGTGCAAAAAGAATGGGCGAATAATTGAATTCCATCACAATTAGCATTTGTCTTGTTCCTTGCCCACATCCAGCAATACCCGCACTTAGTGATGAGAGAGGCAGAATCACTGAATATTCAGAGTGCCAGCTATTGGGTCAGATTTCCTAAATTTGAACCCTGCACTCTGCCACTTAACTTCCGTCATTGGGAAAACTTCTTAATCAATCTATGTGTTAGTTTTGTCATCTGAAAAATGGGGATAATCACAGTATCTGCATTATAAGGCTGCTGTGAGGGTTAAATGAAATAAGAAGCTTAATAAATATTAGCTTAGCTATCATGATGTCTACAAAACGCAGCAGTTGCCTATTACTATCAAACATACATTGATAGCATGTGTCTTGTTCCTCTCATGCCTAGATCTGGATGTGCGGCGGCCAGCTCTTTATAATGCCCTGCTCTCGAGTAGGACATATCAGTAAGCAAAACCTCAAATACCGTGAAATCTTGAAAGCCGTGCAACGTAACTATCTACGACTGGTGCACGTTTGGCTGGATGAGTACAAGGTGAGAACACGTCTCTGATTTGGGAAGATGTGAGCGGGCTTGCTCTGGAGAAGACTTCTGCTCCCTGTCCAGATCCAACTTTTGGTTTTTTCCCTGTTTCTCTTAAATTAATGGTCCTTTCTCCAACTTCTCATTAACCCATCCCCAAACCTATTCTCAATTAGTTAATTCTAAGCTTCTATTCTTGCATTTCATTATTTTTATTTTCATCTCTAGGGAAACTCAAATTACTCTCAAAAGCAATCAACCAACATGAGAAGTCTTTTTTTTTTTTTTTTGCCTAGATCTATTCCCTGCCCCACCCAAGGAACTGCCAAACCCCAGAAGTAAATAGCCTCTCTCTGTCCCTCCCCTACATGCAACTCTTTAGATTTTCCCCCCTCCATTACCGATTTCCCATGGGATGTGGATGCTGCTGGTTTGGGGACCATATGAGAACCTCCACTACCTCTTTTCTATCAATGCAGATTTCTATGTCAAAGCTATGCCCCTCCATTTGTGCATTTCTCCAAAGGTAAGCTCCTTGCCAAAATTTAAAAGGGTACATATCTATCCAGAAGCCACATATAAGCAAATAAGGACAAGGAACCCCAATAAGACCTCATTTTAGACAAACGGGTAGAAATGTGTAAGAATCTCTCTGTGATAGCACATGTCCTACTCTTCATCTTATGTTTCTTTAATTCAGGTTTTCAAATTATTAAATTAATAATGTTCAATTTCTTTTGAAATCAGGGAAATGTGAATTAAAACCTCTGTTTCTACACTGCCACCTAGATTGGTAGAATTTTTAAAGTCTGATAAGACCAAGTGTTGGCGAGGAATGGGAATTCTCAGACACCACTAATGGTTAATTAACTAGTGTAATAATTAACTAGTGTAATAATTAACTAGTGTTAATTATTACAAACTCACTTTTTTTTTTTTTTTTTGAGACAGAGTCTCACTTTGTTGTCCAGGCTAGAGTGAGTGCCGTGGCGTCAGCCTAGCTCACAGCAACCTCAAACTCCTGGGCTCGAGTGATCCTCCTGCCTCAGCCTCCCGGGTAGCTGGGACTACAGGCATGTGCCACCATGCCCGGCTAATTTTTTTTATATATATATCAGTTGGCCAATTAATTCCTTTCTATTTATAGTAGAGACGGGGTCTCACTCAGGCTGGTTTTGAACTCCTGACAAACTCACTTTTGAAAACAGTTTGGCAACATCTATTAAAGTAAAAGATATGAATACCCTATGATCAAGTAATTCCATTCAGTATATATACTATAGAAATACTTGCTTTTGTGGACCAGGATACACGAACATGAATGGGGATAAATATCATTGTTTGTGTTAGCCAAAACTGAATATAGTTGTCCCTCGGTATCTGCCGAAAATTGGTTCCAGGACCCCACATACACCAAAATCCACACTAAACTCATACTAAAGTCAGCCCTGTGGAACCTGTGTATGTGAAAAGTCGGCTCTCCATGTTCATGGTTTTCCATCCCAGGAATACTGTTTACAATCCAACTTTGGTTGAAAAAAATCCACATATAAGTGGACCCATGCATTTCAAACCTGTGTTGTTCAAGGGTCAACTATACAACTGTTCAACGCAATTGCACACTCTCATCAAGAGTGCAGTGGATAGATTGTGCGTGCTGGCTCATGCCTGTAATCCTAGCACTTTGAGAGGCCAAGGCAGGAGGATTGCTTGAGACCAGAAGTTTGTGACCAGGCTGAGCAAGAACAAGACCCCGTCTCTCCAGAAAAACATAAAATTAGCTGAGCACGGTGGTGCAAGCCTTTATTCCCAGCTATTCTGGAGCCTAAGGCAGGAGGATTACTTAAGGCCAGGAGTTTGAGGTTGCTGTGAGCTATGATGATGCCACTACGTTGGAGCCCAGGCAACAGAGGAAGACTTTGTCTCAAAAGAAAAAGAGAGAAAAAAAAAATAAGAGAAAAGTAGAGTGGATAAATGTGATAGATTTAGTTGATATAATCCTAAACAGCAACGAAAACTAGCAAACTGTAGCTATACAGTCATGTGTCACTTAATGTCACAGATAGGTTCTGAGAAATGCAATCAGGCAATTTTGTCATTGTGCAAACATCACAGAGTGCACTTACACAATATAAACCTAGATGGGATAGCCTACTACACACCTAGGCTATATGGTATAGCCCATTTTTCTTAGGCTGCAAACCTGATCAGCATGTTACTGTACTGAAAACTGTAGGCAACCATAACATAAGGGTAAGTATTGCATATCTAAACATAGAAAAGACACAGTAAAAACACGTATATTATAATCCTGTGGGGCCACCATCAATATGTGGTCCATCATTGAACAAAACGTCATTATGCAGTATAACAGCACAGATAAATCTTAGAGATGTAATGATGAATAAAAGCAGCCAAGCACAATAGAATATTTACTGTATTATTCTCTTTCTGTGAAGTTAAAAATGAGTAAAAGTAAACTGCATAATGTGTGCATGCATAATTACATACCAAAGCTAGAAAGAGATGCGAATACCTGAATACATGATCAGGATGGCATTTAAAACTGAGGAAGGCCGGGCGCAGTGGCTCATGCCTGTAATCCTGGCACTCTGGGAGACCGAGGTGGGTGGATTGCTCAAGGTCAGGGGTTCAAAACCAGCCTGAACAAGAGCGAGACCCTGTCTCTACTAAAAATAGAAAGAAATAAGTTGACCAACTAAAGATATAGATACAAAGAAAAAATTAGCCAGGCACGGTGGCACATGCCTGTAGTCCCAGCTACATGGGAGGCTGAGGCAGGAGGATGGCTTGAGCCCAGGAGTCTGAGGTTGCTGTGAGCTAGGTTGATGCCACGGCACTCTAGTCCAGGCAACAGAGTGAGATTCTGACTCAAAAATAACTAAATAAATAAAAATAATAAAACTGAGGAAGAGCGCTGTGATCGCGAAAGGGAATAAAGAGGGCTCCTGGGACACTGGTGATGTTCTGTTTCTTGATGTAGGGTTACTGCCATTGATTTTCCAACACTCCATTAAGTAGCACATTTATATTTCATGTTCTTTTTGTATAGTGATTATATTTCTGATATTTTAAAAAACGTAAAACATGCTCATTTTCAAACGCCATACAGTACTGAAGAGTATGAAGTGAAAAGTAAGTTCTGAGCCCGTGGGTCCACTGCTCAGAAGTAATCACTAAATTACTCTTTGCAGTTGCTGGTTAACACACCCATGTGCACAAGAATATACCTTTTTCTTTATACATAACCAGATTTGCAAAATATGTTGTTCTGAAATTTTTTCACTTGTTTAGTATATTTTGAAAACACATTTTCAAGTCACTTTTCAAAATCAGAACATAGAAACATATCTCATCCTTTTAAATAGTTTCTTTGACTGGATCTACTAAAATCAATCCCATTGGTAAATATTCCCTGTTGATGACCATTCTGATCATCCTGGCTTTTTGTTATTTCTTAATGCAGAAATGAATATTCTTTACACATGTCTTTTTGCACATTTGTGCAAATATATCTTTGGAATAATTTCAAGGAATGAACTTGCTGGGGCATGAGTTAGTGCATTTTAGATCCTGATGGGTAATATCCAAGCTGGGCTTCCCTGTGCTGCCATCTGCACTACCTTCAAATGTCCGTGAGAGTGTCTGTCGCCCCACATTGGTTATACCTGAACTGATATATTTCTACTAATCTGATAGGCTAAAACATGATATCTTATTGTTCAAAATTGTGTTTATTACAAGTGATTTTGAGCTTATTGTCATGTTTGTTCATTTTTTTCCCTGTGAGCTCTGATCATGGATCTAGATAGTTGAATTGAACACAGATATCTCTGAGTGGTTTTCTGACTTTCATAGAATATATAGTGCCAAAAACTTAAAAGCATGCAATGTTAAGTGTGAAACCAATAGCTTGTATGATATACCACATTGTGACATTTAGTGAGCGGCCAGGAGAAGAGAGGGCTTTGTACAGTGCGACGTTGTCTAAGGTTATCCCTGCCTTCGCTTCCTGCAAAATGAGGACATCCTCCCCCACCTTCAGGCCCATCCCCTGCACCAATCTGCCCTGGGCATATAGGGGTGGGAAAGACCTACAGCAGTCAAGGATGCCCACAGGGGGAGAATCCCATGTGGCATGTCCATAGTGTGTTAATTTGGACAAACAAGCTCTCTCTCTCATTTGACACTAGTACCAGCATTGGGAATGTACAGATGGAAGTACGAGGGTTCTGCTTTCTAAGAGGCTTCAGTCTACTTAGAATAATTCTTTTAATGTGGGGCCAACAGAGTCCACTGGACATTAATTCTTGGTGCTTCCTTAAGTCAGAGCACACAAGAAACCAACCAGGGGTGGTGATAACAATGACCCACACAGACATGACACTCTGTGCCAGCCTTCCTCTCCCAGGGCCTTTGCAAGTACATATTAAAGTGTTCGGTCCTCCCAACAACCTTAAGAGGGGATGGCTCAGCTAACTCGCCCAAGGTCACACAGATAATTAACAGCAGAGCTGGACTTGGAACCCCGGCTGCCTCCCTGTCAAGTCCATTCCCTCCAATACATCCCCCATTTCTGAAAAGATGGAAGTATCGATTGGGTCCAGGGAGTGAGGGCTTCCTGGAGTACTGCTGAGAAAGTAGGAGCAAGAGGCGTTACAATAGGTGGCTGTGATTCTTTGGCTCCTGAAAAGCAGGACCCAGTCCTCTTAGACCCCGCTATGCCACTAGGCATGGTGCAGCGGCACATCCTGTAGGTGCCATGTGCTGGGTCAGTAAATCTGAGGCCCCATGGTGTGTCTCTGCCCTTGTTCCCTGTGCAGGGGAAATCGGGAGGATTTTTAGTTCACATGTTAGATATCATGTGATTTTATTACCAAAGATTTATTTGGTTTAATGAATTTTAACTATTTTCTTTTAGGATCAGTTTTTTCTTCGAAGACCTAGTCTAAAATTCTCTACCTATGGAAACATTAGCGAGCGTGTTGAATTAAGGAAGCGATTGGGTTGCAAGTCATTTCAGTGGTATTTGGATACTGTCTTCCCAGAGTTGGAGGTATCTGTGGATAGCAGATGAAGGGAAAACAAATCATTTTCATGAAGAGAGGGTTAATGAAGTCCTTCAACACAGTGGCATTGGAGTACAAGTTTGGAATATCATGGAATTATGTGAAATGCATATGAAATACAACCAGAGTGGTCTACATACAACATGAGTGCCTTTTCTCCTCTTTAATGATAATTCTTAATACTTTGTTACTCATCTACCACTGAATTTCTGAGGTGACAAGACCTTGAACATTAGAGATGTAAGCTGTTGATCAGTTAAAACTATCATACCACTCATTAAGGTAACGTATATTGTTTGCAATTATTTGCCAAAGTCACTTGGTCCTGGTAGAACTACAGGCGCTGCTCTGCCCTTGGAGCCTTTCTACTCAATTTCTACCCCACAAGGTGGCCCTTTCAGTAAGACATGCACAGAGAGCCATGCTTGGTGCATACTGACTTAAGCTCCTTTCCTGCTGCCAGTATAGATCCTGGTACCAACACCTTGCTTGGCTGCGTTCCTGAACTTCTGATGCCCAGTCTGCTTGCTTGAGTGTCTGGTTCAGCCCTCTAGGCCAGCTTACCTGTTTGTTTCTGTCAGCCTTTGTGTCACTGGAGACACTCACTCTTCCCTGCTTCTGATTTTGCCTTTTTCATGTCTGTCCCTTCCCGTGGCTCTGGCAGACAGCTTTCCTGATGCTTCTTACACCGTGTTAATCTACATTCTGACCGACTGACTCATGGTAACTCTGCCTGCAGTCAGGGAAGCAGCAGCTGGGCGCCTTATCTGTCCTGGGTGAACACATACCCAGATGTCAGAAGTATTTCTTTGGACATCTTTGGGGTTAGAGGGATCTCTGTTGGGTTCATCCTGGTGACAGTGGCTAGGAAGATGATAGAGATTCAATTCACAAAGACAATAAAGAGAGAAATTGAGGGAAGGAACACATTGAAAGGGGCAAAAAAGGAGTGAAGGAGACTTTTGATAGCATAACAAAAAATAGTCTATATTGGAGAAAAGACAAACTTGTTTTCTGCAGCAGGAAACCATTTGACTAATGTATTAAGCTTATGCAATCAACAATTGAGTTGGCCAGGTGTTCTTCTAGGTGCTGGGATGCATCAAAGAACGGAGTAGGCAAACATCCCTCCCTTCATGAAACTCCTGTTCTTTGAAATTAATAGATACAATGTAAATTAAAAAGGACCTTTTTTTTAGAAGTATCTCTTTATACTTATCTATTCAGCAAAATATTTAATAAAAATAGATTACTAGAAATACATGGGGAAAAATGGTACTAATGTGTTACAGACAGCTAGAATAACTTGATTGAGCCTTTATAAGGTCGACTTGGCAACACAAAACAAGTGTCACATTGTGATTATATTCTTGGTCCATATATTATTTACACCTTGCCTGCTTCTAGAAAGTCACTAAAAATTGATTGTCAATTACTAGAATAATAGTTAAGTAATCTTGTACATTTGTTTGATGGACTAATACATAAAATAACAGCTATAAACAGGTTTGCTCCATACTCATCAGATTGGCAAATATTTAAATATCTGACACTATCAAAGGTGGGAGAAGTTGAAGCAATACAAACTCACAGGTTACGATTGTACCCTAGAGCATGATTTCAAACTTTAATTTGTATATAAATCACCTGGAGATCTTGGTAAAATGCAGATTTTAATTAAGTAGGTCTGGGGTGGAGCATAAGATGAGCTTTTCTAGCAAGTTCCCAGAGGATGTTGATGTTGCTAGTTGCGGGACCACCATCTAAGCAGCAAGTCCTTAGAGAACTTGTCTTCAAACTCTTTTGCTTGGGTTTGAGCTAAAGGGACGGTCTTGCTTATTAACAGCTGGTTCTCGAGGTAACTAATCCCGTCATGAGAGAGCAAGAACTCACTCATTGCATTAATCCCTTCATGAAATTAACAAACAAACCCCCAAAGGCTTTGTACCCCTTTATACTTGTTTAAGTTGATATTTAAAATTTTTCGTTATGAATTTAGGTAGTTGGAAGGATGTAATTTCTGGCAATATTTATATATTTAAATTTGTTACACTTTTAAATATACCTAGTAGATTTCACTCTAGTTACCTCACCACCACTAGTTTCCTCTAACCCCTTAGAAAAGGACAGTTTCTAAGGGGTTCCCAGTAGGCTTGAACCCCAGTGGGGCAGATTTGGTGTTATACTACATATATCTTACGTGAGCTGCAACCATTGGGGGAACTGGGGTGAAGATACACGTGTACTCTCTGTACTGCCTTTGCAAGAGAAACCCATACCTGAAACACCTGTTGATCACAGTCAAGAGGAATGAATCGTTGCCCCCATCACGGTAGAAGGGGTCAAAGAAATTCGACTGAGCACGGAGCAGCAGTTCTCTTTGGCAGAGGGCAATGCCACAGGACTCAGCTGGGGGCCATCAGCTGCTTGCACACCCAACAACTAGGGAAATGAGTCCTCACTCCTTAGGGGGAAACCTGGGTGGCACAACGTGGCACCCCCTACACCAGGACAACCTCATTAGGTATTTGGCAGGGCCTACTAATCCAGGAGATGGGCTGGGTGGCATGTTTCATTCAGCTCAAGGAGGTCATTGCTTGGGGTCAGGTGTGGCTCTTTTCTTTCCCCTCTCTCTGCCCTTTAATTTATGAGGGATGCAGAATTTCCTCCCTCCCTACTCGCGTGCAATATCCCTATCAGACTTTCACTGTGAAGCAGTGAGTTCTTAAAACATTTTTTTTTTAATTCTTGACCAGATGGGATTTATTTCAGAATGCAAATAAGGTTAAGTATTAAGATATTCATCCACATAATCTGGCATGACTGGGCCACATTTGAATGCCTGTACCATTTTTGTCAGAAATTGCCAAATTCCCCTCTATGGCAGTTGTATACTTTTGCACTCTTACCAAGATGAGTCTTTTTTCACAGCTTGTCTCTTTACATTTTAATCTACATTTATCGTAAGTGATGCTGAACATCTTTTCATGTATTCAAGGACACTTGTCTTTTCTGTGAAGAGACAGGGGTCTCCCTGGGCTGCCCAGGCTGGAGTGAGTGCAGGGCGCCCACCGGCCCGGTCCCACTGCTGATCGTCACCCGCGTTTTGCCGGCTTCGTTTCCGGCTGGCCCGGGCCAGCCCTGCCTAGGCCCCCGAGCGGGGCCACCACACAGACGCTCGACTTAGGTGCGACACCCCGCGGGCACCGTGCACCACGGCACGGAGCTCCTGGGCTCAAGCGACGCCCCGCCTCAGCCTCCCGAGCGGCGGGGCCACACGCAGGGTATCTGTCTTTAACCGGGTCCTTTCCTGAGGGAGCAAGCCGCAGGCAGCCGTCGCAGACCTCCAGGCCCGGGCCGCGCAAGCGCTCGGCGGCGGCGCGAGGCCGGCCGGGTGACGTCAGCCGCGGCGGGGCGGGCCGCCCGTAACGTGGCGCCGGCGGTGGCGCGGCGCTCGGCAGAGGCTGCGGCGCGGGGACTGGGCGAGGCCGCTGGGCCTGGGCGAGCCCGCGGCCGCCATCCCGCCCCGTGTGTGCGCCACGCCGGGCTGCTCGCCCGCCCGGGCGGCGGTTCCCCCGGCAGCTCCGCCCGCCGCGGTTCCTGCGGCTCGGACTGGGGCTGTGGCGGGAGGGACGATGCCACCGCGCGAGTCCCGGAAGGCCGCGCTCCTGGGCTGCGGGCGTCGCGGTGAGTAGCCGGCCGGGCGGCGGCGCCTGGCCCCGCGCGGCCTCCGTCCGTCCCCGCCGCGCCTCAGGGGCGAGCGGCTGGGCTGCGGCGCGCGCGGCCTCGGGGCGGGGGCGGGGAAGCGCCCGCGGCCAGCGGCCGGCCGGCTCCGGGGCCTGCGGGCAGGTGCAGCGCCGGGACCGGCCGGACCCGCCAGCGACGGAGGCCTGAGCACGTTCCTTCAGGCCAGGGCTGTCTCCCGCGGAGGCGGTGCCTGTCCCCCGGAGCTCCTCCCCGGGTCCCGCGTGTGTCCTCCCTGCGAGCGCGGGACACGCGACAGCCCTGGCTGAGCGCAGGGAGGGCTGGGCCCGCCCCAGGCCTCGTTTTCGGGCATTTTAGAAACGGGATCCCAGAGAGAATAGGATAACGAACCCGGGTACTGAAGCCTTAGTTTCCGCAGTATTTGGTGTTTTTTTTTTTTTTTTTTTTTTTACTATTGTTTTGTGCTGGTCAGGGTTTTGGCCAGATCCACACATGGTATTTGGTTGATATGCCTCTTAAGTTTCTTTCTTTTTTTTTCAATACGTTTGTTGAAGAAATTGGGTCATTTGTCTTGTGTGATTTCCCATATTTTGGAAACCCATGCTGTTTGGATAAATATAAAAAATGCCAAGACTCCCGCCCTTTAATTCTGGTAGACGTCACCCTTTGAGGAATATTTATGATGGACTGGCTTTGTTTATTTTTACCATCAGAGAAAGTTTGGTCTGGCATTCCTTTTTCTTTGCCTTGTGAAAACAATTGGTTGGTTGGTTGGTTTTCCAAATATAAAATGGCGTTATCATTTTGAATATGTTTTTCATACCACTACCCTGCACCCATCAAGATAGTCTGGTGTTACTCTCCTCCCTCCAATCAGGTTTAGGCTGGGCTGTTCGGATTTTTTTTTTTTTTTAATTCAGGATGTTATGGGGGTACAAACATTTTGGTTACATGTAATGCGTTTGCCTTGGCCAAGCCAGGGCTACACGCATGTCCTTCTCCCATACAGTGTGCTCCAATTCCATTAGTTGTGTGTTTAACCCTCCCCCACCTGACCGGCACCCAATGAGTATTACTACCATGTGAATACCTGAGTGTTGATCAGTTAGTACGAATTTGATGGCAAGTACATGTGGTGCATTTTTTCCATCCTTGTGATAACTCACTTTGAAGGATGGGCTCAATCTCTGTCCAGGATAATATAAGAGGTTCACCATTGTTTTGTGTAGTCCAGTGGTATTCCATGGTATACATATACCACATTTTATTAATCCACTCATGTATCGATGGGCAGTTGGGTTGTTTCCATATATTTGCAATTGTAAATTGTGCTGCTATAAACATTTGAGTGCAGATGTCTTTATTATAGAAGGTCTTTTTTTCCTTTGGATAGATGCCTAGTAATGGGATTGCTGGATCAAATGATATTTCTATTTTTA